TAATGGCAACCTCTAGAAAACTAACACATGAAATCAAAACTACTGAATAAAAAAATCATGAAAAGGCAAGATTCTTAATGTACTAAAAACAACCTGCATTCATGAATGGTCTTTCCTTTCGCTACTCTTCTCATACACTTAAAGTCTGATCTTGCTCCCACTGAAATCAAAGACAAAACTCCACCCTTACTCTGTTTCAGTAAGATATTGTGACAAAGTTCCCGCTCTACCTTGGTGGGTCTTGCGCTTATTGGTGGATTTGCTCGCCTTGGAGCTTCACGGCAGCCCTCAGCTTGGCCGTTTTTCTCAACCCACAGTCCACGTCGACTCCTCCTGTGTCTGACCAGGAGTTGGGAGGATTTGGGGGGAACCCGGGCCCGCCCTCTATTCTGGGTTCCAGCCCAGGGCCCTGTGGAATGCAGCTGTCTAGAGTGCCTCCTGGAACAGCTGTATGACAGCTACAACTCCCTGGGCTACTTCCCCATGGCCTCCTCCCAACACCTTCTTTATCCTCACCATAGGACCTTCCTCCTGGTGTCTGATAATGTTTGTACACCTCAGTCCTCCAACAGTTTGCATTCTCACTCTCAGCTCCTAGTGCCTCTTGCTCCCAGCTCCTCGCATGCACATCACAAACTGCAGTGAGCTCCTTTTTAAAACCAGGTGCCCTGATTAGCCTGCCTTAATTGATTCTAGCAGCTTCTTGATTGGCTTCAGGTGTTCTAATCAGCCTGTCTTAATTGTCTCCAGAAGGTTCCTGATTGTTCTGGAACCTACCCTGTTAGCTTATCCAGGGAAAAGGGACCTACTTAACCTGGGGCTAATATATCTGCCTTCTATTACTCTCCTATAGCCATCTGGCCCGACCCTGTCACAATATTTACATTCCAGTAAAAGAAAACTCTTCTTTCAGTCTAGCTAAACTTTATTCTGACCTCCAATCAGAACTGTGCAGACTTAAAATTTGTTCTTTGAAGTGTTGTTGTAGCTGTGTTTGCTTCTAGGATATTGGAGAGACAAGGTGGGAGAGGTAATATCTCTTTTTGGACCAAATTTTGTGGGTAAAAGAGACACGCTTTCAAGCTACACAGAGACCTGAAGAAGAGCTCTGTGTAGCTGGAAAGCTTGTCTTTCCCACCATCAGAAGTTTGTCCAGTGAAAGATATCTCACTCACCTTGTCTCTCAGACTTAAAAATGTCCTTGCAGAGAAGGAGCTTGAAAAATTTCCAACAAAAGCTGGGATTAACAAGCTCCATGCAAAATGGGATTTTCCCCCCTGCAACATTGATATAATTTAAAATGACATTTAACAGCGCTGGGGAGGTGACATTAATCAATAAAAAAACTGGGAAGCTTTGTTTCTGAAGTACTGACTTATAGGGCTGGCTGCATGAAATAAAGCTGTGCGATGGGGTGACTGGTACCCCATCCTGCATCTGGCAAGGAGGGGTTTGAAAAACGCACTTTGTACAATCCGATGTCTCTACAAACGTGGCTAGAATTGAAGAAGTAGGTGGTCACTTGATAACATCACTACAAGAATCTGGCAGAAAGGTCTAATTAGTGTGAAGGAGCTCCAGAGGACTGCTAATGAGCTCAAAAGGCAGCAAGCAGGCAGGGCACTGGGGGAGTACAAACAAGAGCCAGGAAAAAGAACAGGAGGACTTGTGGCACCTTAGAGACTAACAAATTTATTTGAGCATAAGCTTTCATGAGTTACGGCTCACTTCATCGGATGCATGCAGTGGAAAATACAGTGGGGAGATTTTATATACACAGAGAACATGAAACAATGGGTGTTACCATACACACTGTAATGAGAGCGATCACTTAAGGTGAGCTATTACCAGCAGGAGAGTGGGGGGGGGGGGGAAGGGGAACCCTTTTGTAGTAATAATCAAGGTGGGCCCTTTCCAGCACTTTACAAGAACAGTAGGAGGGGAAATAAACAAGACAAAATAGATTTACTTTGTGTAATGACACATCCACTCCCAGTCTTTATTCAAGCCTAAGTTAATTGTATCCAGTTTGCACTGAGGGAATCTATAGGACACTACATTTGGGTGCTGGAAGCCTTTTTCCTTGTGTGGTTGCTTAGTGAATGTGTGTGTCTCTCTACCATGCCTGCACTGAAAATCCATTTGTGTAGGGTCCTTTTCTTGTTTTTGCCTCTGCCGGTGGCCCATAACAGTTACTTTAAAGTACTGTACCACGTGTGAGTGTATAGAGAGAACTTTATGCATACAAATCACAAACACAGCCCCCAGGACCTCCTCTTTCCAATACCTGTCTCTCCGTTGTCAAAGAGAAATAGTTCAGCAGTAGGATCAAAAAAGCATTATATGTATTTAAAAATTCCTAAGAATGGACCCATTTAATCATTTGGTGAGCACTTTCGCCATTTCAGAGCTATCCTTGAAAGAGGAGACTGAAAACATGAACTCTATTTTTGTTTATATTTCTGTGCCATGAATATAAAAGCATCAAGCTTTCAAAGACCTGTGAGTTGGGAAGGGGTGTTTTGTCTGAAGGTTGAAAGCTGTTAGCTTCAGGCAAATTGTGACCTGATCACAGTGACCTGAGTTGAACCAGAGAAACACCCAGAAAAATGTAGCTCTTTATCAAGGAATCCCTTGGAATAAACTGGATATCAACAAATATGAGGAATGAAGGCTAAACCACCTAATTTCTGCCCTAGATGTGTTTTATTCCTACTTGTTTTTAGTAATATTTCAGTAGTGCCGATAGAACCCATTAAAAATAAGGATCCCATTATGCTGGGAGCTGCATGAATAAACAGGTAGACAAGGTCTCTGCTTCAAAGAGCTTACAATTTAATTCAGTTCCTTTAAAACACAAGAAATATGTAGCGACAGCATAATCATCTGTACATTCCTTTTGCCTACTTGAGCAACAGAGAGTTGTTTTTCCGAGAATCTCTCTTTTGGGTAAGGCTATGTCTACACTACAGCTCTGATGCAGCTATGCCACTGTAGAGCTTCTGGTGAAGATGCTCATAGCTGATGGGAGAGAGCTTTCCCGTTGACTTAGTAACTCCGACCTCCATGAGAGGCAGTAGCTTTGTTGGCAGGAGAGAGAAGCTCTCCCACTGACACAGTGCTGTCCACACTTGCACTTACGTCAGTGTAACTTATGTCGCTTATGCAATGTTTTCCAAACTGTGGGTCGCGACCCATTACTGGGTTGTGACATGTAAGATGCTGGGTTGCCTTGCTCTGGTCAGCACCGCTGACCGGGATGTTAAAAGTCCCGTCGTCAGTGCTGCCCAGCTAAGGCAAGTTAGTGCCTACCTTTTCTGACACTGCACTGTGCCCCAGAAGTGGCCAGCAGCGGGTCTGGCTTCTAGGCAGGAAGACCATGGGGCTCCATGTGCTGCCCTCACCCCAAGCACTGGCTCCGCACTCCCATTGGCTGGGAACTGGCCAATGGGAATGGCTGGGGGGGGGGGAGAGGGCAGTGACTGCAGGAGAGAGTCGTGCGAAACCGCTTGTATGCTTCCGCCTAGGAACCAGACCTGCTGCTGGCCGCTTCCGGGGCGCAGCGCAGTCCATGATGCCAGGAAGCCTGTCTCTGCACCCTAGCTGCACTGCTGACCAGGAGCTGCAGGAGGTAAGTTCACACCCCAACCCTGCCCTCCAATTCCCTGCCCCAGCCCTGAGCCCCCCCAAACCTGGAACCTGTTCCTGCACCCCAAACCCCTCATCCCCAGCCCCACTCCAGAGCCTGCACCCTCAGGCCAGAGCCCTGACCCCCTCCTGCATCCCAACCCCCTGCCCCAGCCCTGAGTCCCCTCCCACATCCTGAACCCATCATTCCCAGCCCCACTCCACAGCCCTCCCCCCAACACTGCAACCCTCTGCCCTAGCCCTGAGCCCCTCCCACACACCAAACCCTTCATTCCCAGCTCTGTTGGGTTGTGGGCATCAACAATTTTCTTCAACTGGGTCCCCAGAAAAAAAGTTTGGAAACCACTGGTTTATGGGTGTGAATAATCCACCATGAGCGATGTAAGTTATACCAAAGTAATTTGTAGTGTAGACATAGCCTAAGTCCCATTCATCCCTCCCCAAATTTGACTTTCTTCCTGAAAATTCCTGCAGCCAAAATAAACTGCATGTTAAGTAGCAAGCATTATGCTAAAACTCTTCTTTGTTTCATAGGATTAAGCTATCATCAGTGTAAACTGGCTCCCCAGGATGCAACCTCTATCGATACCCTGAGGAAGTCATTACAAATGACAGGAAGCTAAAGATAGTAATTGAGACAAACCCCACAAAGAACAGATTTCTGCTAAATTGCTCAGAATGTGGAGGCCCATGCAAATAGACCCAAGGTCAAACAGATTCTTAGGGCTTGTCTACACTATGCAGCTTTTAACGACAAGGCTGTGTTGACACAGCCTTGTCGCTAAAAGTCAGCGTGTGTGAACGCTCTTTTGCCGTATTTTGTCGGCACTTTTGCCGACAAAATAATTCCAGCCCCGCAAGCGGCATAAGCTTTGTAGGCAGGAGAGCGCTCCTGCCAACAAAGCCATGTTCACACAGTCACTTGCGTCAGCAAAACTTTTGTCTTTCTTTGAGGGTGGGCTTTTTAAAGGACCCAAGAAAGACAAAAGTTTTGGCAACAACGGTGCAGTGTAGACATATCCATAGTTACACAAGTGTAAATCCAGGGCAATTCCACTGACGCAAAGGGCTTAACATTAGTGTAACTGAGATCAGAATCCAGTCCATAATCTCCAAATTCCAACAGAAAAAGAAACAAGTTCTTTAGTTTTTGGATTTAGCTATTCCTGTATCCTGTCAGAGCCAGTGAATTAAAAGGTTTCAGAGTAGCAGCCGCGTTAGCCTGTATTCGCAAAAAGAACAGGAGGACTTGTGGCACCTTAGAGACTAACAAATGTATTTGAGCATAAGCTTTCATGAGCTACAGCTCACTTCATCAGAGGCATCATATTCATCATGTAGCTCACGAAAGCTTATGCTCAAATACATTTGTTAGTCTCTAAGGTGCCACAAGTCCTCCTGTTCTTTTAGTGAGTTAAAAGTTTTCCTTGTTAAAAATGAAGTGTACTCCTCGTGGATCAGCATCTGAGTTGTTGATACACTGCTTATTGAGTGTTTCAGCCAGGGCTTCTGGACCACAGAGGAAGACGCCTACTCTGGAACTGTTAAGAAAGAACATCACAGTGTGGTAAGTAACCAAGCAGGTATTCAATCCACAACAACATGCGTAGGGTGGGTGAGCAAATGGATCATTTGATCTGCAGCTGACAGCCATTAAAGGCACTAAAATAGAACCTTGTATTATAATATGAGCTACTTAATATTAATACTTTTAACATCTCTTTAAATCTTCACAGTGCTCTTGAAACAGGAACTAATTTATCCTCCTAAAACCCGTGAGGTAGACAGGCAAGATTTATAACTGCTTTTAAAACAGATGACGGGCTAAATCCTGGTCCTCCAGAAGTCAATGGCAAAATTTCCACTGATTTCAATGGAGTCAGAATTTGGTCGAGAGAAATTGAGACAGAGAGGTTAAGGCTCAGATTCTCATAAGCAGCCTCTAATTTTGCTGCTTCCAGTTTTGGGTTCCCAAATGCAGCCCATCCATCTTAAGGCCTGGTTTTCAGAAGCATTAATCATTGACTTCAATTGGAGTTACAGATGTTTCTAAAACCAGCCCTTCCATGCATGAAGTTTAACACCCAAAATTAATGGACATTTTTCAAAATGTAGGTCTAAAGTGGTTTGGCCAAGGCTATCCAACATTTCAGTGGCAGAGCTGAGATTAGAATTTGGGAGTTCCTGGCTCTGAAGTCCATATTCAGTCTCTTGGATCACTTTGCCTCTCAAATATTACCAACATAAGGAGTAAGACAATTTTTTTATGGCAGCTAGTTTGAGGTAGTCCATAGAAACTATAGATCTGAACTCTGGTTTACCTTGGGTGCTGACTTGCAATGGTTTTGAACTCATTTTCCCAGTTGGGTCTGCCATAAAAGGTTTTCTGTTTCAGACCCGTAATCACATCTTTCTCTTCATCATGGTGTACTGTAAAATGAGTGGCCTATGGGAAAGGAGACAAAGACTTTAGGGAACAGTGTAAGGAGAAACTTAGAGATGGATACTTTAGCATAAGTTTAGAAAGTTAGCCCTATTAGCATGCAGTGGGATTATCTGCAGGCCAGAAGAGCTCCTCCTGGATGTGGAATTTATGTTTGATCTCAGGGCTTGAAAATATTAATCCTTAAAGCAAGTAATTAGCTTTCTGTTGTAGTGAACTGCCTGATTTAGGTTCTTTGATGGTACTGTAAGGACAAGATTCTCCCCCCCATTTATACTGGTGGGGTCCCATTCAGGTTGCACCGGTATGTCTGAAGGGAACGTGTGTCCCTGTGAAATCTTTTCTCTTCTCTCTATGTAATTTCCATCTACATCAACAGAGTTAAGTGCATGATTCAAAGTTCACAGAAGTCAATGGAAAGACTTATGTTTACTTCAGTAGGATATGGATTAGGCCCTAACAGAATTACTAGTTATATTTGGGGAAAGAATTAGAGAAGTGACTTATTCGGAACCAAGAGGTATACAACCTTACTTCTCTTCCCCACATCTAAAAGCGTGACAACTTCCCGCCCCCTCCACTCACAGAATTTTGTGTGGGTGGAATATAAGTAGAGTGAAATATAATCAAAAGAATTAAAATAAGCCTCTTTCCTGACTGACTCACCCATTTCTCAAGTATCCAATGGAAGGTTTGGGACCTTGGTCTCCCAAAACCAGTCTATATTGTCCTATCCCATAGGGAGATGCAAAAGAGCCAAGAAACTTCTGAAGGAAATGTGTTGCCACTGGCTGAGTCCCATTACTGTGCACTAGCTGGAGTTACTGCTCAGTTGCAGAGAGACAAGCTCTCTTAAGGGAGACCACAGGTCCCAAGGAGGAGGGCTAAACAATCCCCGAGCCCAAGGAGAGAGACTTTATTTCCAGTGTATTTGTATTGAATAAATTAGAACCTGAGGAGGGGAATTTTATCTCACATTCTTTTAGACTGGGTGGAGTTCTTAAGCAACCCTGAGAGAAGAGAACCTGAGACAGGGAGAGCCTGCAGCACTACACTAGGTCAAGGGGGGGCGGGGTGCCAGAGGGCGGACAGGCCCTATGACAGGGCAATGTTGGGTTTTAAGCACTATTACCAAGGCTAAGACTTTAGTCATGAGTATTTTTAGTTAAAGTCTGAAACCAGGCAGTAAACAAAAATTCATGCCTCGTGACATGTCCATGACTTGTACTATATACCCTGGGTTTAAATCTTGGGTGCCCTGGATGGGGGAGATCCAGGGGGACATTGTGTACTCTGGGGCAGGGGACTCCACGGGTGCTCTGGGGCAGAGGGTGGCCCGGGACTACCACTGGTATTTCGGGGGGGGGGGGGAGGGCGGTGGCACGCAGCCCGTGACTGCCACTGGTGCTGGGGGGGAAGGGGGCACAGCCCATGTCCCTGCAGTCAGTCACATCAGCTGCTGCAGAAGTCATGGAGGTCCCGGAAAGTCACAGAATCTGTGACTTCAATGAGAGACTCACAGCTTTAACTATAACCAATAGAAATTCTATTTTTAGCATATGGAAACTTCTCAGTTGGCCATAGGTTTGTGCAACTTTTCTTTCTGACAATATCCTTCTAAAAATAAAATCCCTGACAGCCATACAAGGGCCAGGAGAATGGTACAGCTCCTTTTTGAATGTTTTTACCTTCATAGAAACAAACCAACCACCCCCAAATGATGTTAAAATAATAAAAAAAATCCATGACACTTAAGGGACTGACATTTCCCCAGAGTGGTTACCTGAGATTCATCCCAGCCTGTTAGGTAGATGTTGTAACTGAGAAATCCTGCATTGTCCCTCTCCTGCATTTGATTCTCCAGAGACTGCAAGAGGTCAGCAAACCATTCAAAGGCATGAGTGTCTCTGCAGAGCCAGTAAAAATAGATCTGAAAGAGACAGAATTAAACTCTTATCTTCTGTATGCACTTACGCATTTCCACATCCATCATGTTTGCTGATTCAAATGGGGATTTTTAGAGGCACGGTTTACTGGTGGTTTAGAAATTCCCCTTGTGACTAGAGTTGATAGGAAGTTCATCTGGCATCATAACTGTTTGGAGGCTGGAAGAGCTGTGGGGCAGAGTTAATGATTATGTGAGAAGGGAAACAGTTCCCCCTTTTCCCTCCACCAGTGACCTATTTACAGTATCATGCTGCCTCTCCATCCCTGCTCCCTCAGAGTAGCAATTTGTTAAGCCATTCAAAAATGACTTGGAAGAAAACCTGTCTCCAACTGTGCAGCCAATGAGGCAGTAGGCAGCAGAACTGGTCCAGTTCCTCTACCCAAGGGGAGGGGGCAGAGGAGATGTGACCTCAGGTGCACAGAGGAACTGTGGGGGCTCCCTCTGCCCCAACACATAGGGCAATTTCAAGACCAAAGGCACGGCTGGTGGACCAGCGACTACTTAGTTCCATTGACCTAAAATCCCACCCTGCCCTGAGAGAGGAGTGCAGCACATGCCAACGCTATTGGAACCCGAAGCTGGCAACAGTGTAATAGAAGTGGTGAAGTGCCTTTATTGCTGCCTTCCTCAGTTCAGTGGAAAGCTACTGGGTGTAGCCCACCTTCCCTGTGCTGAATTTGGCCCATAGGCTTGTCACTGCTTCTTCTGTCATCTCTTGAGTTGCGAACAGAGGAGAAGCAAACAGAGGAAGTTCGGCTGGGGGGGGGGGGGGGGGGGAGTTCCCACAGAGTTTTTTGCCCTTCAGGCTTCTGGGAGCAAGAAATACAACATCTGAAGAGGCTCTTAGAAGGAAGACAATATGGATAGTGAGCGATCAGCTGTTGTGACCTGCACAGGATATGCCATGTTTGTCTTTCTCCCAGAGGATAGAAGTGACTTTGTCTGTACGAAGTGCAAGCTAGTCTCTGTATTGGAAGAGAAGGGTAAAGGACTAGAGACCCAAGTATCAACCCTACATTGCATCAGAGAAAATGAAGACTTTCTGGATAGAAGTCAGCGCATGAGCATACTGAAGAATCAGAGAGGGCAGTGCAGAATGGGGAAGAAAATTGGCAGCATGTGACCTCCAGAAGAAGAAAGAAGAGAACTCATGTACCCGGAATGCAGATAGAGGTAAGAATCCATTTTCAGGCTCTCTGCACAGGTACTATGGTGGAGAATGGTTTCGAAGAGTCATCTGAGGGAAGGGAGCAGAGGGAGACCCCATCGGCCGGAAGGCATGGAATGCATTGTCCTAGGGAAGGGGTTTCCACGACTACCACTCCCAAGAGGAGGGTTGTGGTGGTCGGGGACTCCCTCCTCACGTGAATGGAGTCATCTATTTGCCATCCAGACCGGGAAACTCAAGAAGTGTGCTGCTTGCCCGGAGCTAGAATTTGGGATGTGACGGAGTGTCTGCCGAGACTGATCAAGTCCTCGGATCGCTACCCCTTCCTACTTCCCCACATGGACACCAATGATATTGCCAGGAAGGACCTTGAGCAGGTCACTGCAGACTATGTGGCTCTGGGAAGAAGGATAAAGGAGTTTGAGGCACAAGTCATGTTCTCGTCCGTCCTCCCTGTTGAAGGAAAAGGCCCAGGTAGGGAACATCGAATTGTGGAGGTAAATGTGTGGTTACGCAGGTGGTGTCGGAGAGAGGGCTTCGGATTCTTCGACCATGGGATGTTGTTCCAGGAAGAAGGATTGCTAGGAAGAGATGGGATCCACCTATCAAAGAGAGGGAAAAGCATCTTCACAGGCAGGCTTTCTAACCTAGTGAGGAGGGCTTTAAACTAAGTTCGCCGTGGGATGGAGACCTAAGCCCTGAGATAAGTGAGGAAGTGGGATACCAGGAGGAAACACAAGGAGGAGGGTGCAACGGGGAGGCCTCCTGATTCATACCGAGAAAGCAGGGCAATCATTCATTGGGAAGGTTTTGTACACCCAGGGGACATACCTTTTTGAGTCTTAGATTGGTTGCATCATTGCAGTATTTGTACCAGACAGACTTGAGTACAGATGCAAATGGAGTGACCCCTATTCCAGCTCCAACAAGCATCACAGTTTCATAACTGAATACATCTTCACTAGCTGTGCCAAAGGGGCCATCCACAAGTATCCTAAAAGAAAGAGTACAATTAATAATATAAAAATATCATCTATATATCTATCACCACACACAAAAAGTGTGGGCTCGAGTCTTCCCTATAGCCAAGTACCACTTGGTAAAGGGTAGGGTGGGGCACTGTAAAACTAGTTACAGCTCCCTGATTCTGTGACACCCAGCCCCAGTCTGACATAGAGCAGTCTAGGGGCTGCTCTAATTTACACCAGTGAAGGGTTGGTAAAATGGAGCTCTCCCCAATTAAACCCCCTTGCTGGTGGTGGGAAAGACCAGTGGCACAGAAGCTGTTTCTACTGAAAAGTGTGGAGTTTTCGTCCACTAGTGGAATTCTGCACTGATCACTTATAGCCAGAACCAGAGCCTGAGAATCTGGCCCATAAATTTAAGGTTAAGGTTGCTCAAGTGCATTTTCCATTGACAGAATACCTAGATTTTGGAGTCAGTCACCAGATTCACCTCCTCAAAAACACTTGTCCCAGTTCAGCAAAATGTGCATTTTAAGAAAACTGATTTTTATGAGCAGGCATGGAATGAAAATTTAGAGGGTAGCCATCAGCCAGGATGGAGGGAGTCAAGGAATGTGTGACGCATGCCGCCAAAGAGAGTAGGTCTAATTTTAGGCCTAGCAAACTTGATATAACAATGTCCCTTTTCAGAAATTATCATGGAGATTGCACATACTTTGGCAATTTCCATGCTTCTTGAAATTCTTTTTTGTCACATCCACAGGCACTGGACAAGCCCTCTGTCCAGTCTCCTACAATACGGATGTGAATGCTGAAGTAATCCTCTTCAGGGGCAGAAGTCAGTGTAAAAGGGTGCCACTCCAGATGAGACACTGTGGGACATTGGACAAAAATGTACTGCCCAACTTCCATCTTGAAGCCCTTTTTCATCATCTGGAGCTCAAATGTTTTGAAGGGATGATTGACCACCTAAGGGCACAAAATACAAAAGGCTGTCAACAGCTGCACTGTTAGCCCCATCCATTATCACCACATCCATCACCATCACACATCATATTTCACTGTGAGAGCAAATTAAACTGGTCAAACTGTCTTTCAAAGAACACAGGACAGTCTGAGGAACAGCATCTGACAGCTGGACAGGAGGCTGTAGAACGGTCTAAGTTGTTGATAGAAACATTTTCATACCATTCTTGTGACTATTATTTATCATTTAACACAAACTGTTATAGGGCAGCCAGATACATCTAGTACATTGTCGGGGTTGTGTATGTGTGTGACTAATTCCAGGTGCAGTTTGTCAGTGCCACAGAATGGATCACATGTTCATGAAGTTGTGGGGTGGAGGTTAGCACACTGGCAGGACATTGGATTGACAGCACTGGAAACTGAAGCCTTCCGTGTATACCCACATGGGAGTTATAGCATGGGCATTTGCCTTGCCCCTATGGTTTTTTAAGCCTACCTGGAAATGACCATCTTGAGGCGCAAGACAGTAATTCAGTCTCTATGACTATTTAACATTGACCTCTCTGCTGAGTCTGCCAGCAATTTTCAGGAGAGGTTTGGAGAAGGAGATCTAGTCTATTGGCTAACTTCAGAACTGGCTAGCTTTGTAATTATTTGTATTACTGTAACATCTAGAGGCCCAACTGAGAGAGGACCTCATTGTGCTTGGCACTGTACAGACACATAGCGAAAGACATTTCTTGCCCAGGAGAACCCACAGTATAAGCAGACAAGACAGATAAAGGGTTGGAGAAAGGAAGTATCATTATTCCCATTTTGCAGGTGGGCAACTGAGGCACACAGAGATTCAGAGTAACATTTCTAAAAGCACTTAAATAAATAGAAGTGCAGCTGTGCTGCTGAAGGGACCCATTTTGGTTAACAGCATCCAGAACACTTCCCAAGGGTACTTTCTCTAATAAACGCATCCTGGTGTGGGGAAGTCCATGCCTTTTCCTGCAGACACAATACTGTATTCTCGACTACTGATAGCAAGTAATGGGAAGACTGAGGAACATTTTGCCCAAGATAAACACATAACATTGATACACACCTTTGTGATTACCACCTTCTGCTGTGATCGCCAAAATCGCACCAACCTCTCAAAGAAGTACAAAATCATAGGAACCACTACCCACTTCCATGTCTGTTAGCAGAACAAAGATAAGAAGAAAATGAGAAGGGGAAGCAACATATATGTTGATAAGATATTTTACATAAAATACTGGCGGCTTTATACACACAGACATTCATTTCAGTGAATTGATGCTCTTCATCACTCAGTCTGGGGAACCTGATACATCACATCAAACCTTCAAAACAACTTCCTCCTTTGAGAGTGGATTTTCCCTCTAGCAAGTGTTGCAGATGGATTTACAATCTGCTACCATACAGCTGGCTAGTTATAGAACAGGATTCTCCTGTGGGTGGTCCTTCCCCTTTGGCTAAAGTTCAGAGTGACTGAGCACAGTATGGGTTAATAGGTATATATTTTTTTCTTTCGAAGTAGAGTCAGGGTGCAGGATAGAGATTCTTAAATCCCAACGTGAGGATCAGAAGACTGGATGAACAAGAGGCCTACATTTGGTGGATAGGATTTTCTGAAGTGAAGAGTTTAGAGTCATCAGGTGTACTTTCTCTGGAAACTTCTGAGGTTAATTTGAATTGGTCAATTCTAGTTTCAAAGCAGAGGGCTTGGATTTTTCAGGCTTTATATGAAGGAATAAGTATAAATAGTCTCAGGATCCAATCACTTTCTTAGTTCAGCATTTATTTTCTCTTGACTTTTGACTCTTCATGCACATACAGTATGTAAAACTAAGAGTACATTATACATTAAAAAGGTTAGTAAAAAAATCATAAGAATAAATTAATACCTGGTATAACCACACTGATTGAAATGGAGCTACACATGCAATCAGTTTGGCACATTTAAACTATGTGGGTTTGTAAACTGGTGGTTATGTGACCTCTGATGGGATCTGGGTGATGAGTTCATTTCAAAAATATTTTCAAAGAAATGGGACTGTCAGGTTGAGTAGCAAGCCCTGGAATATTATGACATTTAAAAAAATTCCATTATGATCTAACAAGTTTGAAAAGCAATCAAGAACCAGCTGAGTTTAGACTTGCCCCTCATGAACATAATGGAGCAAATTCTGCTCTCATTTACACACATGCAACTCCATAGCTTTTACTCAGAAAATGAGTCTGCTTTTGTCACAAAAGTACTTTTAATAGTGACCCAAAACACTAGGAAATAAGAGTCACTCAGCACATTAGAACTATAATGCTGACCCTCTCCTGGTGATTATACTCTCAGTTGATTATGCTGAACAGTGCCTTCTCTTCACATCTGGATCTAAATCTGTGGTAGTCTTCCTTCATCTTCACAAGACAGTGGTTCCTACTGATAGATTTGGATGGAACCTGAGATCTAGTCAAGGAATGCAGCTGCACAGTTGGCGATCACGTGAGTGCCAGAAGCTTTGGTAGCACAATAAGATCGCCAGTGACAGACATGAACTGAATACCCAACTGAACAGACATGAACAGACAGACTACTTTAAGGATCTAGCTAGTGATCAGTCCAGATGATGCTGGGTCTCTCTGGGGTTTGCCATCATGATGAGGTCTCAGTTGAAAACTCCCTTAAAATGAACATATTATTCTCAACGTTCCTTAAGCCATTGTTTTACATTAATGCATGGTACCTACCTTAATGATACGAAATATTCCCTCTCAATATTATTTCTTATTTGTATTTCAGTAGCACCTAGAGACTCCAATCATAGGCCAGGAACCCCATTGTGCTACACATTGTACAAACATAACAAAAAGACTATCCTTGCCCTGAGGAGTTTGCAATTTTCCCTTTCCTGAGCATGCTAATATATAATTTTGAATAAACCTTGCAAGGTCATGATTATATTCTAGTGAATGGTTCTCATATTTTTTTTGGTATGTCAATCTTGTTCAATATTTTTCCCTTTCCTTTTGCCCATCCTGTTAAATATGAACATTTTAGTTTAGAGATGGTCAGAACCAATACAGGAAACTTAAATTGTCTCTGAAGAAGAGGTATTTGGAGATCCACAGATGGGACCAATATCGGAATTACTGCAGATGGTAGTTCAACCAGCTTGGGAGGCTGGGTTGGTGCTATCATCTTGGATGTGGTCACTCAGTGCTGACTGGCCAGTGTTCTTATGTCAGATGTTTTCCCCAGAAGTTCTTCTTTCCCTGGGTAGCCCACCCAACAATGATATACAACTTGGTGATCTCCAATACCTGGGCCTCCAAGTATCAGCTCAAAAGCGAGACATTTAGGTGATACCCTCCACATGCAGTGGAGTTGGGGAGTCCTTCTTTAGTCTGTCTTTGATTACAATCTGCCATTTCAAAATGTTAAAAAACAAGTGATTTCCCACTGAAGCTCGTGGTTTACTGCATATTTAGATTCAGATGAATCTTTCTATAGTATCTAAACATGTAGTTTCACACAAAAAGTGAAAGATTTTGAAGACTTTCACTACTGTATTTATACTTAAGACAATAGAACATACCATAGGAGGATTTCCAGCAAACTGGGGGATAGGACATGATGGTATTTTTCCCCACTGAGTGAAGTTCTTTTCACATATTTTTGGATCATGCTTTTTCAAGCTCTCAGCTGTCTGTCCGCGTACAATACGGCTTGAAGATAATACAAAATGTTAATGTAAATTAAATGATATCTAATACTTATAGTTATTATATTCAACAATTTATTTCTGCACTGTTAATATCCTTTTTTTCTGGTAAGATTCTACTACACTGCTCAATCTGCAGATTTGCTACTAAAATAAGGAGAAAGGGGAGGCAAATCTGTATTGATTTCCTAGGGGAAACCTCCTCACATAAAACATCAAGTGAAGAATTGAGAAATACTACAGTTACAATTTGTAATAACGTGGTTACAAAGGGAATATTTCATTTGTTTAAAAGAAAGCCTGAATTTTCCTTCTGCCTGTTCTATTTCTATCCCTTTGAAATAAAAGGGGTGGAAAGATCAGGATCCTCAGTTTATCAGTGACCATAACTAGAATTACTGCAAACAAACTTCAGCTGTACAAGTCATGTTTGACTTCTCCCTGTCTCTTGGAAGCTGTGGACTAAATCTTCAGCTAGTCAGTCTCTCACATCCTAGCTGGTGCAAAAAAGTCAATCACTATAATGACTGACACCATTTGAGGATCTCCCCCTGACTTCTAGCATCACTTTGGTTATTGCTTTTCCATACACAGATGACATGCAGCTATGAGTTGTATATTTTCCATCACTCAAACTATACTGAGTCTGCCAGTACCTGGTTACTTGTGACATCTATCCATCACACATTAAAGACTAATCTTCCTTCTAGGTGAAAAGTCTTCTGTCCAATATTTCTGATTACCTTTTCATTCTCCTTATACTCAAAAACTTCAACTTTGCTCCTAAGGCCAAATACACTGGAATTATTTTAGTCTCAAGCTGATCCTTTCTTCTAACATCTCTCCTCTCTGTACAACTGCCTACTACCTTGAGATCATAGCTAGAACTTATCCTTTCCTCTACAGAAATCTTATTCCTGCCTTCATCGCCTCCCATTTAGACTACTGAAGTTCTCTCTTGGCAATGTTTCTAATCATTGCTCTCAAAACTTCAAGGTTTTCATTATTGCAAGTTTAATCTATCAAGGTTGTAAGTAAAAAGACAACTTTGACTGATAGTTATTGCTCATTTACCTCCTATTGTAAATAGAGACAAAAAGATACCACTGCGTTGTAACTACTGACAAGTGTTGAATTTTAAAGAGAGGTGTTACTTTTGCTCCAGGAAACATGAACCATTCTTATCCTCTCTTGCTTCATTAGCTTTCTATTCATCCCAGATATTAAAAAAACAAAAATTTCCATCCTAGTTTTCAAAACACGTCCTGGACTTACATCTAACATGTTAACTTCATAGTCACCTTCTCATCTGTTTGCTATTTCTACTCCTCCAGTTGTAATCTCTGTGACAGAGTGTACCAACCCACACTGGGCAAGCAGAGGTTAACCAGTCACTTTGGGCCCAAGAAGTCATGCCCCTGTGTCTCTGCTGTGCATGTCTCAGGTGGCGGGAGCAGATAAAAGGAAGCTGGCCAGCTCAGTCAGGGCTGACTGAGGAGGAGGATGACGTGTGCTGCTTGTTCCAGTAAGCCCTCCAGACTCCTGAGGCGGGTATCCCGGACTACGCTACGGAGAGCACACTGGCTGTGGAGACCAGCTTGGATGCTGAACGTGGAAGACAGGCCCACAAATGGACTTAAGGGTACGAAGTGACCCAGGGAACATATTGGAGGCGATACTGGAGCCCTAAATAGGGAGGTTACCGGCTTCACAGGGCCCTGGGTCAGAACCCGGTGGAATAGGGTGGGCCCGGGTTCCCCTGCCATGCTGGCAGGTGGGCATTATTGCTGGAGACCCCAGCCACAGACTGTTCATTTGTTCTGCCTCAGCCAGGGGGATGAAGCCCTGATTGCGATTGTTTGCCCCCGGCAGGAGGCCCAGAGCCTACAGACCGTTCATTTTTTCTGCCCTGCCTAGGGGGCCAAAACCTCTTTGTGGTTATTAATCCCAGCTAGGAGGCTGAAAAGCTACAGACTGTTCATTTGCTCTGCCCTGCCCAAAGGGCCGGAGTCCCTGACTGTGTTTGTCTGGCCCAGTTGAGAGTTGTGACGACTTTGACAGGGTGTATCAACCGTGCACTGGGCAAGCGGAAGCACCCCTCCCTCCGATGGATGCACAGAGCCCCTGTAACAATCCCTTTTCTGGACTTCTCCCTGGGGCCATTCACAGTTGAGGGAGGAAGTGTTTTTGCACAGTCATCGTTACTGACCATTTTAAAAGAACTCTTTCCCATCTTCTGGACCACTCAATTTCTCTTTTAAAAGATCACATCAAGAACTTCCTCTTAACTGTAGTTTAAGAGCATGAATTAAGAAATGCTGCTTGTGACTAAATGCTATTTAGCTTTCTGTCCTGCTTTATGCATCTGTTCTATAATTTTAAACAGTAACTGGAGTTTATTTTTCCTAGTACTAAAGTTGCCTCACTTTCACTTTATAACTTCTAAAGCTATTTTGCAAGGGGAAAAAAAGAGGAACGAAATAAACGATTCACAGGGAAAGAATACGCCTGTTTGGAATTTAGGAGCTGTCTCTAAGCCACAACAATTAATGTTTGTCTATAAATAAACCTGCAATCACTGAAATCCAATTTTGAAACATTAATGGACTGCTAATATTAACAATGTTTGGAAAGATAATTCTTTGTTAGATTTAGCACTAAGGCAACAAAAATGTGTTTGTTGTTGTGTTATTTCCTTTGGACAATTTCACGTGGTGTATTATGTTATTCCTTCTAGGAAATAAGACTGAGCTAAATTATAGGAAGAGAAACCCTACACAGGAAAGAACTTTCTAATTAGAAAATCAAAAAGTGAGTATCGGTGAATCTAAATATGACCAGCTTTTGTAAAGATTTATGCATGTGACAACTTGTCTCTGATATGCGTAAGTGTTTGTAGGATTGGGCCAATAATCATAGAATCATAGAATATCAGGGTTGGAAGGGACCTCAGGAGGTCATCTAGTCCAACCCCCTGCTCAAAGCAGGACCAATCCCCAATTTTTGCCCCAGATCCCTAAATGGCCCCCTCAAGGTTTGAACTCACAACCCTGGGTTTAGCAGGCCAATGCTCAAACCACTGAGCTATCCCTCCCCCCCCACTATCACTAATCAAGATAACAGCATCCTAAATCACTAATCAGATACATTACATGTCTCTGTTTGTTGGCCTTCAATTTATAGTACATGAACTACCATTGACAGAATAAGGAGTAATGGTCTCAAGTTGCAGTGGGGGAGGTTGGATATTAGGAAACACTATTTCACTAGAGGGTGTTGGAGCACTGGAATGGGTTACCTAGGGAGGTGGTGGAATCTCGTTCCTTAGAGGTTTTTAAGGTCAGGCTTGACAAAGCCCTGGCTGGGATGATTTAGTTAGGGATTGGTCCTGCTTTGAGCAGGGGGTTGGACTAGATGACCTCTGGAGGTCCCTTCCAACCCACATATTCTATGATTCTATGTATCTTGTAGTGTATGCAGTGAATGTTTACAAATACTTACCCAGCTCCATGAATGACAAGTCCAATAAAGAAGATGACAAAGAGATGGTGGGTGTACCAAAATACTTCAAAATAGGACCTTCGAATGGTTTTAGTGGATGATGTGATGATTAATATAAGGGCCAATGTAATGATGACACCACTGAGACCTGCCAAGTACGTGAAAGCTACATATAGGCCACCTTCGGGGTTCTGTGAAATAAACACACATAGGGGTTTCAATGAAGACAAATTTATCAAAATTGAATTGGGCACCATCAGTCTTTTTCATTTCAGAATCTTTAAGGAGATGACATTCTGTAAGAAACAGCATGGGAATAGTTAAAGTGTCAGCAGTGATCAGAAGTTGATAGGAAAAAGGGAGGGGGATAGAGGAAGTCATCTGGGGTCTTTGAGGACGAGAGTAATGCAATCACACTTATTTATACTATATTTGAAGTTTTTGGTTAGGGATACATCCAAACCCCATCCATGTCACCAGAGCTGTAGGCATGTCTAGAAGGCTACTAGAATTGGGCTGGGTTACAAGATGATGTTCTGGGACACCGTGGTTACAGCATGTTAAAAAACAGTCAAAGTAGTAGAGTTGACTGACAATTGGAAGAAGGCTTTTGAGCCTCAGAAGCTTCAACCTGAACCCACCATTCATCCACACTGGGGTGAAATCCTGGTCCAACTGAATCAATGGGAATTTTGCCATTGACTTCAGTGGAGTCAGGACTTCACCTCGCAGGTGGCATTTTCAAATGCACCTAAGTAATTTAGGAGCACAAGTCCAATTGATTTTCAAAGGACTTGTGCTCCTAAGTCACTCCAGTGTTTATGCACACCCTATGTCTGCTACACTGCACTTGTACTGAATCTGAGTAAACTAAATGGAAGAGGGAAAGAAAGTATTTTCTACTCATTGGCACATGGAAGTGGGAGTCAGAAATTCTGGGTTCTGTTTCTAGCTCTGCCACTGGCTAGTTGTGTGGGGAAAAAATGTCACTGAAGTCCATTTTCACAGCTGTGTGTCCAAAGTTAGGAGCCTACATCCATATGTAGATACCAATATGAACGTTCTGCTTTTCAGTGGTGCTGAGCACCTGCAGCTATCAATAAAATCAATAGGAATTGTGGGTGCTCAGCAGATGTGTGTGTTTGTGTGTGTGAGAGAGGGGGCGGGGGGGACAACAACAAACAGACCTTAATTGTAGGAATTCAAGTTTGAAGATTTTAATCTTCACATCTCTGTGACTTTCTTAGCCCATCTGTAAAATAGGGGTAATAGTGATGCTTATCTAGCTACCTTGCACAGGCGCAGTTTAATGAATTAATGTTTCTAAAGGACTCAGACTGTTAGAGGACAAATGTGAGCTATTACTGAAGTTCAGCATCACTATTATTAATTATTGCCAAATATAGAGGAATACATTGTGCAGGGTTTGTTCCTGTAATGTGGTTTAAACACAGATTCAGCCTACTAACCATACTGAATAACAAAATGTCCTTGACACAGTTGCATAGGTGAATATTCCCCATGGCAGAGGGTCACTTACCGGAATTTTTTTTCGGACAAAATTCAGATAGGTTTCTTCTGGCTTGTCACCAAGATCAGAGAGAGCAGCTTGAATAGTTCCTTTCGCTTCAACACGTGCATCCACACACCTCTCTACGTTAAATAAGTGTGCAATGGTGTGTATGGCTGTGAGTGACAGAGAAAACAACATGGCTTGTGTTAAGTAAGTGTTATACCATTTCCTGTACAGGTACCTCAGAAAAAGTTTCTGGCTTTTGACCACTAGGGCATTGTCCAAACTACAGAAGAGAACCTTTGCTCTCTATCACCATGTATCTGGGAGACTCGCAATCATCAGTGGATTTTATCCCCACAACTACCCTGTCAGGAAGGAGAGTGTTATGCCCATTTTACAGATGGGGAACTGAGGCACAAGACAGACTAAGTGATTTGAGCAACACAGAAAGTCAAGTGGGGGTGCACGCTCAGCACTTTCTGAAATTCAGGCCCCTTTGAGATGTCTTTAGTCACATTCGAAAATTTGGGCTGAGGGGTCTGATCCTGTAATTGTACAAAACTCAGGCGGTCTGAGCTGTGTTCCCAGCTCTGGCACAGACTTCCTGCTTGACCCTGAGCAAGTCACTTAATCGGTTTGTGCCTCAGTTCCCTTTCTGTAAAATGCCAATAATAATACAACAGCCGTACCTCAGGAAGGGACCACAGCGGTAGTGAGAAGCTCAATGTATTCTTGTTTGTGAGCTGCTCAGATACTGTGATGATCAGCACCATAGAAAAGTCTATGGCGAGTCTACATAACAAGAAGGGGAGAAAGCCCATTTACCCAATCCTTCATATGCAGCTTGTCTTTCTTCACTCTCCTTATTTACTACAATTTACTACAGTTTGGAAACAAGCCTCAGAAAGCATTAAATGCTGGGTACCAATTTTTCTGAGGGCATGGCTGAATACCCTTTATTAAAGAGTAGCCTGCACTGGAATAACAGAGAGTTGTCTTTTGCCACTTCGCTTTCTGCTAGTTTCAGACTAGCATTTGGAAATGGATTTAACCCATGCCATGTGTCATTCTCTTAGTTTAGTGAAATGAGGTACCTGGTCATAAACTCCAGAGACACTGTTTCCATTTGGATTCTGTGCAAGGTGAAATGATAAAGCAATGATCAAGAAAATTCTTAAATACCTACCAGTATGAAGGGCAATCATCCAAGCCACCATTTTGTGAAACGTGAGGTTCCTGTCTAACTGTCTCCTGATACGGGTTGAGCAGCACTTTGGGTTAAAAAAAATGAAAAGTCTTTGCAGATTATTTGTGGTGTGAAGGATATAGTTTGGTAACAGTTGTGACACTGGTTTGCATACTTGAGGACTGATCCAGAGCATACTGAAATCAGTGGAAGTCTTTGGATCAACTGGAGACTATACTTATCTGTGTTCTCCTTCTCTTCCTTGTATTCTTAAACATTCATTACATTGTCCTCTCTTTGCCAGCCATGAAAAGCAATCACCAGGAAACATGATACAAACAGTCTAAGATTAACAGTTAGACATGGAAACAGGACACACCAAATTATTTTTAAGACGTCTGGAGAAAATACAAGCATATTTTTGCAAGAAAGCACTGAAGTCCTGAGTGTTCATGTGTCAAGTACTTTTAGCATTCTGCGTTTTCAGTTTTTATTGATTTTCACTGATAAATTACCAGTTTTTTTATTAAAGGAGTTCAGTTTTTACTGATTTATACCCGTTTATCAATCCACTTAGTATTTTTGGGGTACTTATTTTTGTTAAACACTAAAGCTTTACACAATTGTTGTGTCCTGCAACTATGAGATTGAAGCAGTTCCACAATGTAAAACACAGAGCACACACGGTGGACGTCGGAAAAACCAAACATTTTTAATATTGCGCTATGATTGGCTTACAAGGCTGCCTGCCTATTTCTTTGCATCCCTTTAGTGTGGTGCTCAATTGAAACAATCAATCCTCCACAGATAAAGATATGTAATGCCCTCTATCCACCCAGATACCTCCTTTAGTGCCAGTCTCCTTATGGGTTTGGATGGATGGACCTGGATCCCCACACAGCCAATCCTGCCCTTTTTGTGACTGGCTCCAGACTACTCCCAATATGGCTTCTCCCCCTCCAGGGCTCCCAGAGGAGGGCATGTCACTCCTTATTGGTCAGGCTAGCTCTTCTTCCGAGGCTTTCCCTTGTCAGCCATTTCACTCTGCCCCTTCCTCTGAGCAGACATGCCTGCAATCCTTCCCCAAACCAACAGGGCTCCCTGTTGCTCTAAATAGCCTCACCCCTTCTTGGTTGCCTAGCAGACTTTGAGTCTGCCCTTGGCTCCCCCTTCCTACCAGGGACAGCGTGCCTCTCCCTGAACTACCAGTACACAGAACCCCAGGAACCTAGGTAAGCTCCTTGGGGTTACAGATAGTTAAGATAAAAAGGTAAACATGGGGCAAAAACTCAAATCTATGCCTGAATTACCAACAAGAAAATCAGTGCTTAGAAATTTTCAAGACAAGTAAAGACGGGAGCGAAGAGGACACATTGTGTTGCAAGTACTGCAGTGCTGAGGTCAGTGCACGTGCTGACAGAGCAAAGAAGCATGTTGACAGCAAGCAACACGAGAAGTTTAAAGAAGAAAGCGAGCTTCAGGATAAACAGTCAATATCAGAAGCTTTCACCAGGGCTTTAATGAAAGAGAGGACACAGCACGATTGTGTCAACGAATTTGTGCGTGCTCTTTGTTTTGCCGGACAACACTGTTAATAGCAGAGGGGCCTATTGGTGACTTTGTGCAACAATACAGTCCAGTAGCAAAAACTCTTCCTAATGAGTAAGTATTGGAAAGAAAAATGATGATGCTTTAGTATCTAAACTGATGGAACGAATTGATGGAAATGTGGAATCTAGTCTGATTTTTGACAAGTCTCCCAATGCTTTGGACCATCCAATTCTTGGCCTTTTGTTTTCATTTTTTTATTTCAAAGCAGATGTAAGCAGAGTCAGAATGAGCTCTACCCGACATCTGGTGGTGAGCTGTGGAAAAGGACTTCAGGGGCTGATCTCGTTTGCATGGGCATTCTCGTTTGCATGGGCACACCCACCCTGCCTATCATATGGACTGCTTGCTCAAATGGTCACTTTGGCTGCTGTGGGATCCCCAGTCTCTCTGTTGTTGGGGCAGGAGTAATAAAGCGTTGTTATCCTGCTTATGTGAATCAAGGACAGTAGAACTGTACTTGGCATTTTATGATGGAGGGACTCGCCCTCAACTAAGTAGCACTCGCTAGGCAAGGGACGTGGGTTCCAAAACCCAGTGAATTGAGAGAAGCTGCATACAGTAATGTGTACCTAGTAGCGTGGATCCCTTCTGAGGGCCCTAAACACTGCTTTGATCCCTCTTCTTTTCATGGTGTAATAACAGAGCTAATTTTGGCTCCATTGGGAGTCTTGTTACATGCTGCAGAGCTACAATCACCGATACCTAGGTCTAATAAGCATTAAACCTACTTTGGGCTAGTGGTGCATCAGCACTGAGGCTCCTCTACTACCAGCTAAAAATCACTGAGTGCTGAAATCACTAAAGAGCTGAAGTTGCTGAGAGCTGTGTTAAGTGTGTGTGTGTGGGGGGGGGGGGGGGGCTGAAGACAAGTTGGTGGGCGGCTGGCAAAGTGGAGTGGACAGCTGGAGCGGAGTGGAGCAGATAGCAGGGTGGTTGGTGGAGAGGTGTGGCTGGCGGTGAAGACTGCAGCAGAACCCCATGGAGAGGCATGGCACTCGGCTGTCGACCCAAGCAACGGAGCATATAAGATGCCCCCCATACCTCCCTTCACTTCCACCCAGGCTGGGAGGTAAACTCTGCAGATGAACTTCTGAACTCTGGGGGGGGGCTGCACTGACCAAGGACAGAAGCTGGGGGAGGGGGGTGACTATTGGGTTGCTGGACTTAAGATCCTAAGGGGAAAAGGACGCTGCCAAACTTACTTGGGGGTGGGTCTTTTGCTTATGGTTGGTGTTATGAATCCTGTTTGTGGTGTTTCCCCAACATAATGGTGCATTGTTTCCCTCCTTTGTTAAAAGGCTTTTGCTACACTCAGACTCTGTGCTTGCGAGAGGGGAAGTATTGCCTCTTAGAGGCGGCCAGGGGGGTGGGTATGTAATTGTCCCAGATCATTAGGTGGGGGCTCGAGCCGGTTTTGCATTGTGTTTTGAAATGGTACCCCTAGATACTGAACCCGGCCCTTGTTGCTGCCAACTCTGACAGGCAGAAGGGTTACACAAAATAAACCCACACTGTTTTGTGTTGGCTGTGACATTCATCCCCTCTGCTGATAGTTATTGGTGCATCGGCAAAAGAGCTGACAGAAGTGTTTCCAGAAGTCACCTACTACAGGACAGGCCTAACAAAGAAAATAACAGAACGCCACTAGCCGTCACCTTCAGCCCCCAACTAAAACCCCTCCAATGCATTATTAAGGATCTACAACCTATCCTGAAGGATGACCCAACGCTCTCTCACAAGTCTTGGGAGACAGGCCAGTCCTTGCCTACAGACAGCCCCCCAACCTGAAGCGAATACACACCAGCAACCACATACCACACAACAGAACCACTAACCCAGGAACCTATCCTTGCAACAAAGCCCGTTGCCAACTGTGCCCACATATCTATTCAGGGGACACCATCACAGGGCCTAATCACATCAGCCACACTATCAGAGGCTCGTTCACCTGCACATCCACCAATGTGATATATGCCATCATGTGCCAGCAATGCCCCTCTGCTATGTCATTGGTCAAACTGGACAGACTCCACGTAAAAGAATAAATGGACACAAATCAGATGTCAAGAATTATAACATTCATAAACCAGTCTGAGAACACTTCAATCTCTCTGGTCATGCGATTACAGACATGAAAGTTGCGATATTACAACAGAAAAACTTCAAAACCAGACTCCAGCGAGAGACTGTTGAATTGGAATTCATTTGCAAATTGGATACAATTAACTTAGGCTTGAATAGAGACTGGGAGTGGCTAAGTCATTATGCAAGGTAACCTATTTCCCCTTGTTTTTTCCTACCCCACTCCCCCCCCAGACGTTCTTGTTAAACCCTGGATTTGTGCTGGAAATGGCCCACCTTGATTATCATATACATTGTAAGGAGAGTGATCACTTTAGATAAGCTATTACCAACAGGAGAGTGGGTGTGGGGGGAGAGAAAACCTTTTGGTTTGTGTGTATAAAAAGATCTGTTGTACTTTCCACAGTATGCATCCGATGAAGTGAGCTGTAGCTCACGAAAGCTTATGCTCAAATAAATTGGTTAGTCTCTAAGGTGCCACAAGTACTCCTTTTCTTATTTCAGATGTACCAACTAATTTGGGAAAATGTGGCCACAGCTAACACAGAGTCTGCTTCCTACATGACTAAGTTTGCACAGGAGATTAAACTCAATCAGAAAGTGGAGCTGCTACGTATTACCTGTCCTGTTCATCTGATTAATGTTGCACTGTCAGTAGCTACTGCTACAGGAGAAATGGAAGATGTGACATCTTGCATCATTGGATTCGCGGCCATTTTCAAGCATGCACACACGTTGAAGGCTTTGTTTGACACCAGTGCAAGACGAGTGCAGTGTCGGGTGCTGATTACTACGCCTGTTGTGCCACATCAGTAGATGAGCTTGTATTTCACTGCCGGTCATGTAAATAACATGTGCACTGTGCTACTGCCTCTCCTAGATCAGCTTGGAGTTTTGTTGGTTCTAAAGCAGAAACTCTGAAGTGACTGGCAAATAACCAAAATGATCACCAGATTCTGCGCACCAAGTTAATGTTCATGGTTGAAAACTTGGAATCACTGTGCGACACACAGAAAACACTGGAATTTTCCTCGGATTACTGCCAACGTGTTTGCCAGTACAGACATTTACTGGATCCTGACAACTAAAATCTCAGCTGGAGTGAGCACAAAAGCTGCAGGAGAAATATACGATGACAAAAACCCAGCTGTTTCTAGAAATCCTTCGCCCCCAGAATATGAGAACCAAACAAGCATTCAAAACCTTCCACACAATGCTCAGCCGGAAATGGGAGATGACTGTGTCTCAATCTGAATCCCGAAGTGTTTGGTGCTGAAGATTCTTTTTGGAATGTCATCCTGTTGTTGCACCCCTTCCTCAAGGCAAATTTTGCAGCAGACTATGACCATTTTGCCAGAGTGTTTCAACCATTTGCCACTAAACATGAAATTTCAAAGTTGAAAGGGTAATTTACTACTTTCATGTACTTGCCTAACCCTGACAATGTGAAACTCGATGTGCTGGTGTTTTGGAACAGTCATCAAGATGCCGTGTCACTTTGCTAAAGTTGGGAACTGTAAGCTTTGAGTGTACCCACTGGATCTGTTGATGCAGAGAGCTTATTTTGAAAGTTGGACTACCTCCAAGACAGCAAGAGGTTCAACATGAGTGAGGATACTTTGAAGAAAATTATACAAGCATATGCAAACAAGGATTTCTGGAAAAACTACTAGCTCTGAGAGAGACAAAATAAACCTTTGTACATAAAAACAAACCAAAAAATTATAACATTTTTCTACGGTATAATCAAAAAATTCTCTTCTTTTTTCCCCTGATTTTTAATTTTTTTTATTTTTAACCCGATTTCATTTCAGTTTCAATGTTTGGAAAATAAACACTGAAAAATTCTTGGATTTTTTTTAAACAAATAAAACTGAAGACGTGGACGAAGTACGTTACAGCTAATTGGGAGGACACCTTACAATTCTGTACCAATAAAGCAGGGTTGATCTCATATACCTTCCAGGAATAAAACAAAGAGGGGTTGGGGACAGAAGGAATGTGGGAAAGGGAGAGGAAAAAAAAATATCAGGGTAGGTTAATTTCTGATGCAACATCATTGACTTCAATGGAATTACACCAGCAATGAATTTGGTCCTCCACACCAGTCCATTTCTCGATCTATCATGGACATCCACTATACTAATAAAGGTAGTTTCAGACTAGCATTTGGAAAATGATTTAACCACACTTCTCTTGTCTGACTATTTGCTAGCTGTTACAGTAACCTACATTAGGGGACGAATCCTCCTCACACACTACTGCTACCCTGCTGACTTCACCAGTCACACGGTGATAAACTGACGGGAGAGACTGGCCTTCCAATACTTTATTTTAAATACATAATTGGAAACGCTGTTAAAAAAAACCCAGTGTAATAGAAAATTGTTGCTCCTGGATGCCTGTCTCTAGACTGTACAAAGAGGAACTTTGAACTCTTTAGCTTCCTGTTTTAAAAGGCCAATCTGTGAAGCACAGCGATGGCTGTACAGTGTTTCCCTGTTTGATGGAATACATGTTGATTCAATAAAAGAAGCAGAATTCCTGCCACTTGATGTACATAGAGAACTCAATTATTCTTTCAATTATACATTAACATTTCTTTTGTGGGTTTAGGGAAAGGTTTCCGTCGCAGTGTTATTGAACTATCACCTTTTAAAAAAAACAAACAAATAAAACCACTCCTCCACCCCAAACCCCTGTGAAGCTTCGGGTGGCAAGAAACCCACTCTTTAGGAAATTTTTCAGTCACAAAATAGGATATAGTCATACTTTCTGTAGTAATCGTTATGCCGCTGACATCTCCTGAATGCAATTAATTTAAAAAAAGACTGACAGCAGGTAAGCTGCAGGATTCCCCAGCCTGCTCCAATCTAGGACTGCACAAAATTTGCATAAGATAAAAAAACCCCTTCTTCCTGTCATAACTTTCTTATGACTAAGTATCTCAAATTAAATAAATTCCAACTGCCCTAGGAGTCCTCCTGTACAATCTCCCTCTGTAGGGCCCTAGCTCCCTCCTCAAGGCATCTAATCCAACCCAGTCATGGGGACAATTCACAAGTCCCACATGCCTCACTGAGAAATGAATCTGCAGGGTCCCAACACTTGTTAACTGGGTGTAGCAGCAAGAAACTCCCACCACCTGGCTACAGCAGCCAGCAGAGCAGCAGGATTTGCCCCAACCATTGAACAACAGAGGAGAGACAGCTTTACACGGACACAAGACGAGATGAGCTGCACATCTCAAGGAGTGAGCAGTTTAGTGCTCAAAGCAGAAGGTCCAATTTACAACTAAACCCTTGTCTTATTGGAATTAATTTCATGATTTCTTTAACACCAGGAGTTGGCTTTTAATCTTGATTGATACTAGCTAATCTGTCTGTTCAGGGAAAGAACTACCACAGGAAAATAATTTTACATTAGGACAATAATACTTACTGTTCAGTTTTTACATAAGTGATGGGGATGTAACCAGTCTCCACTCCATTTACACCATTCCAGTGATGGAAGGGGAATAGAGCAAACCAGAGAATCTGGCCCCATGAATTCAAATTCCACCTCTTTCACAGGCTGATTTTAATATTTCTATGCGCTTTGCAACAACTATTAAACAGAAGGGCACCTCTGGGAGAATTGGAAATAGAACCTAGAGCTCTAAAATAGCAAACCAAAGCCCAGCCACTTAACCAAGTATTTCTACCTGAAAGAAAGTGTGGCTATGGTACCTTTAACCACTTTTCTAGCCACTAGACTACACTCTTTTCTGAGAGCCTGGAAGAGTACCCAGGAATCCTGAAGTTCAAAATTTTACTCCTGGGGGAATTCTGCACCACTGCACCCATGCAGAAACATGTCCCCCCTGCAGATTCTCTTTGCTTCCCCACAGAAAAATGGTTTCTGCAGGGAAGAAAAGAGAAGCTGCACCAGTGCTCACTCTCCCCTTCCTGGCAGCATGGGCACATCTGTTTGGGCACCTGGAGGAGCCAGGAGAGAGGTAAGTCATTGTTGTGGGTGGGGTGGGAAGGTCTGGGGATGCCCCAGCCACCCAGAGACATTAGTCCCAGCTGGGCTGGAGGGGACAGGGGGAGGAGAATGACAGAGATGGCGTTCCCCCTCCCCCTTCCCTGCATGGAGCAGCCAGGGCTGGGTCAGATCAACCCCCCAGAAACCTCCCCCAGCTGCAGGAAGCTCTGCATTGTGGGGAGGCTGTTAGCCGGGGAGTCTGGGTGCAGGGAGTGAGGCTCATTGAGGTGTGGGTTCTGGGAGTGGGAGGGGTGAGGCTCAGCTGATGGGGGGGGTCCAGATGCACAGGGATTGGGCAGACAGGGGAACAGCTCCTTGCACAGTGACCTGTCCCCCCCCCCCACTTCCTGGCCCCTTTGCTTCTCAGCCATGGGGGGAGGGGTCATTGTCTGGGGATCTGCTTCCCCTGTCTGCCTGAACCCTATGCATCTGAACCCCCTGCCAATCCACATGCCCCACCCCGCACCCTGAATGCCCCCCCATCAATCCCCCTAAGAACCTCCACCTCACTGAGCTTCATCCCCTGCATCAGGAAACCCCTGCACCCAGACGTCCCTGCACCCAGAACCTCCCCTGCAGCCAACCCCCTGCAGCCAACCCCCACCCCACCAAGCCTCACCCCCTGCATCGGGAGCTGCCTATACCCAGAACCCCACCCCACTGAGCTCCAACCAGCTACACCCTAACCTCCACACCACCAAGTCCCACTCCCCCAGCACCCAGACCCCCACTGAGGCCCCCACACTCAGAACCCCATCCCCACTGAGCCCTAACCACCTTCACCTAGACTCTCCTGCAGAGTCCCATCCCCCCCTGCACCCAGAACCCCACAATGAACCCCTGTGCATCCAGATCCACCCCGCACCCGGCCCCCCCACACCAAGATGCCACACCCAGATTGCACCACACAGCACCACTCTGGTACTCTTGAGGGAATTCTACACCAAAAATAAAATATTCTGCACCAAAAACTTAAATATTTTTAAGTTCTGCATATTTTATTTGCCAAAATAACACAACAATATAAAAATCACACCATTTTCAATTCTTTTGGTAATTTATTTCACAATGCTGGTCAGCAAATAATTGAAAATGAAAGGTATGATTATATTGTGTTATTTTGACAAATAAAATGTGCAGAATTTTGAGAATTTTAAAATATTGTGCATGGTATTTTTAATTTTTTGGTGCTGAATTCTCTCAGGAGTAATATTTTACTGCTGTCTAACAACCCATTGCCAAGGTGTGTATTATGGCCTTCTCTAGGGGTTATTCCACATAAAGGATAACCTGCTTCCACCTCTACCAGTTACTCTGTGAGCACAAGTGGTAGAAGTCTGTACTGTGACTGTGAAAGTCTTGGGTTCATACCCTGCTGACAACACGTGGAGTATAACTAAGTTTCTGTGGGTAGATTTTTTTTTCCCATTTCTCTTTTTTTAAAAGTCTAGGAAATGTAATAATAATAAAAAAAAGAACATTCAGGTTGCAAAGTCAAGCAGTCTTAAGGTTTCCTGTGAAACCTTAAGTCACCTCCTGGTGCACATGCTTTATGATACAGTTTTAAATTACATGATTGCATAGTATTTTTCCACATGTTCCTAATGAAATCAGTGGAATTTTGGAATATGTAAATAATGCATCAGGTGCTATGTAGTTGTAAAAGTCTATATAATGCTGGAATAAAATAGTATCTGACATAAGACCGGATAACCTTAGATGCTGTTAAATGACACTTCATCTGATAACCCATAACAACTGTGCTGTTCAGTTTTTGGCATAACTATAGGAAAGAGATTGTACAATCTTTTTAATTTTCTCAACTCTGAGCTCTTTTCCCCTTTTCTCAGTAAATAAGTGTTACTCGCCATTAGGAAAGAACAAGTTATCTGAAAAATGAGAAGTGAAACTCATAGCACATTGCTTATGAAGCAATGGCAGAGACATGGAGGCTGGACATTTACTCCAATTTTAACTCTTATAAGTTAAAAGCATTTTTTGTATTAAAGTTAGATTTTTAGCCTGGAAGACCCCGTCTTGTAGTTTCTAGATTTGCCCATAAACTGATGGGACTAACAGTAATAGTCTGAGCCAAGCATAATGTAACAGATGCCGAGGAAGTATTTGCCCACACAGCTCTGCCAAGTCAACGGAAGAATGACCAGCAAGCAGCACCTCTGCTATTTGAGTCCTGGGTCTCTCTCAACATGAAAACTAAAAGCTGTGCCGAAGTGTCTGACCTTTTGTAGTGACTTGGTGACGTGGGAAAATGTTCCATGTTCCAGGGCAGGATGAGGCCAAACTCCTCATTTATTTTTCGTTTTATTCACAAGACCTGTTGTAGCTGCATTTATTATAAATATCACTAAAACAAACAAATCCTTCAACTATAAAAGAACCCCTTCTAGCCTACAAACACTCAGCCCACCAGCCTCATGCAAAGGCCTGGATAAACCTTGCAGCGCAGTCTTTAGGCTAACAGCCTTGGTCTGAGGGCTGCCTACTGAGAAAAATCCGTGTAGGAGACCTGGAGAAACGTGGTAAGAAAGTCCCAACTGATCTCAACCCTTGGGATGACCTGTAAGCAGGGAAGGCATCTCTAAGACATGAAATCTTAGAAGGCTTTTACAGAGCTAAATCAAATCCTTGAACTGGAGCCACTAGGTATGTACGTGTTTGTGCTGAGGAGTACAGGAAGAAAGACAGGGAAGATAAGATGTTTTGCGTGAAACAGTGCTGTGATTCTCTTTCATTGGCCCATGATAGAGTAGCATCTTTAGTTTCCCAGTGCCTGCCGGTAGCTTTGGATGAGAACAAGGTGACCAAATGCAATTCAGATAAATCGGAGGTGATAGGATAGGGTTGGGAGGGGAAGTAACTAGATGAGATGGTAACTCCTTTCTCATTTGAACATTTTGTGTTAGTAAGGTTTGCAAGCCCTGACTGTAGTAGCCAAGGATAGGTTTGTGCTTGGATAGAATATTTTCCTCTCAGTTCAGTTATCCATGTCTTGATTGCTAGATTGCTGCAGTGTGTACTGGTTAGGGCTACCATGGAAGACCACTCACAATTTCAGTTAGCACGGAACACCACTTAGTGGTGCTTCTCATGTGCAGCCTATTGCACCTGTGCTCCATAGGCCGGAGAAGGTCAGAAGGCTGTTAAGCAATTTTAGGCTGAGTCTGGCATAAACCATGCAGAGCAGAGAAAGGAGAATATAATAGAAGGATCAAGTGTGAAAATCCAGCTCTAACAGCTTTTGAAAATATCTGTCTTTCTTTCAAAATTGCAGGCACAAAGTTAGAAGCCAGGGGCCAAATTCATCTCTGGCATAAATGGGTGAAACTCCAGGGATGACATTTGAAAGTAAGGCCTTTGTGGTTTAGTTGTTCTCAATGTATAACCCTCACTTCTCTTCCACGGCAAAACTCTAGACTTCATTACTTCTGAAAAGGGGCACATAAAAAGGAAAATACTTTTGGGAAACTCAAGCTCAGTAATGTGGGCTTCTTGCTCTCAAGTATTCTGAAAATCTTTCTTCATCTTACCGCACTGGATCCTCTGAGGAAGGAGAGCAGGTTTCGACAGACTGGCAGCAGAATCAGCAAGCAGTTGAAATTCAAACAGGCTGCAGGTGCTCGTGCCCAAGCCAAAGCAGACTGTAATGCAATGTAACATAGGGCAAAATCAGTACAGCACATGGAGTAAAAAACTAAGGGTATGTCTACACAGCAGCTGGGAAGGAGGGTACCTCCCAGCCTGGGCAGAGGGACACATGCTAGCTCTGCTTGAGTTAGCATGCTAAAAATAGCAGTACAGCCATCATGGCATGGATGGAAGCACAGGCTAGCTGCCAAGTACAAACCTGCCTGACTGCCCCTGCCCAAAGTCCAACCTAGCCAATGCTGCAACAGCCACACTGCTATTTTTAGCACACTACTTCAAGCAGAGCTAGCGCGTCTGTATACCCAGGATGGGAGGCTCACTCCCAGCAGCACTGTAGATGTACCCTTAGTCCTGATGCTCACCCACCCTAGAACTTCTTTACACTTAGCCCGAGTACAAATGAGAATTAAGGATGTCTTTTAAATTTCACCCGAGTACTGGTCTCTACAGATCAGTTGAACACACATATAGCAGCACAGAGATGCCTTGCTTCTCTTTTCAGTGTTTAAATTATCTCATTATTTTAAAGGTTCATTGTTAGGTCTGACAGCTGAGGCCAAACACAGAGCAGATGTAACCAGTTAGCAGTCCCCCACCTGATGGCTATTAGAATCTGGTCTTATTGAAGACTGGTAGGGAGTTAGATGAAGACGGGTACAGCATACTAGGAAACTGTATCTTATAATATGTATATTCAAGAAAGAAACCAGGACTAGATTTAATCCAATGATTTTCTGTAAATACAGGTTTCTTTCTTTTTATGACCAGTGCCATTTTAAAAGAAAACTTTGTATTGATCATCATATTCCTCATGGTTTCAGATTTACAACTTCAGCAAAGAGCATTAAAAAAAAAAATGAAGAAGCTTGCTTCTTTTTTTTTTTTATTAAGGATGGAGGAACAATTTGTAAATCTCCATTCAGACTGAAAAGGAGTACTTGTGGCACCTTAGAGACTAACAAATGAGCAATTTTGGAAAAATTCTCCTTTCAGTTACAGAAGCACCCTCAAAGGGCATTGCACCCTTATAAATAGGAGCAGAATTTGACCAATACGTTTGAGCAAGATTCCCAGCTTTGTTGAACCAAATCAGTAACTGTGTGGAAAATATCATATTGTTTTATGACTCAGAGCCAACAGTAATTTTTGCAATAATGAGGTTCTACCGTGATCACTTTTTTAAAAATATGAGCAATCCCCATTACTGACTTCTCTGTAGAATATAAAAATACTAATAGAAATCAGCTTGGTTTGAATCTCTTGCAGCATCTCACAAATTGGCTTTAGCAACAGCCTGTTTTATCGTGCCTAATGCGGTAATGTGATCGGAAACCTTTGGAAACTAGTTTAATAGGTCACATGACCTATCTCAGCCAATATGATTACATTTGGTACTCCAGGGTCTTATATACAGCTATATTTTGATATAATCATAAATGACAACTAGTCTTGCGGGCAAACAGCTGTGTAAACTATTCATTTCAAGATAGAAAAATGATTATGAAAAAAATGATTAAGATAACTTTTTTTTTTTAATATTCCAGGGCAATACTTTGCACTGCTTCTGCTTAATAAAGCAGTCACAATAGGTGTTCTATTTTTTAACTAAAAGGAGTGTGAATCTTCCTGGAAGACATCTCTAGAATGGGATTTGTCTGCTCTGCATTCCATTTTTCTGTTTGAAAGCACCATGTGTGTTCAATTATCTGTTTGTATGAGTTTTTGAACTGCTACTCTCTCTGCCAAATAGAATTGAGGACAAAATAGGAAGGCTTAGTTACAATTGTATCTGTTCACTATATGCCGTGGTAACGCACGTGCTGTACTTACCCCAAGAAGCACTCTGCTATAGTGGTATTTGACTGGAACATCATATACTCCGTAGTACCACCAAAAGAGGAAGGCATTTAACCCCAGCCACACAAGCTGAATGAGAAAAATACATGATTGGATGCAATCAAAAGATACGTTTTGGTCAGACACAAATTGGGCTCAATATAGGAGTTACTGGATGGAATTCTATGGCTTATGGTATTCAGGAGGTCACACTAGATGATCTAGTAACTCTTTCTGGTCTTAAAATCTTCACCCCTATTTACCTCTTTGATAGAATGGAGGCTGCCATTTCCTCAGGGGTAGTGATTAAGGTGTTTTTTTATTATGATTATTTTGTGCTAAGTCCAGGCAGGAGTTCTTCTTAACTACCCCTTTATTCTATATTATAATTTCCCCACACTCCACCCCGTCTCCCATCCCCATTAAATCCCGTTTCCTCTCCAGGCATATACACTAGTGAAATATCCCTAGAGCTTACTGTGCTACAAGTATCTTCCCTAAGACTACACGTACTGACTAACATATATTTATACCATTGCCCTGAATTGGATGCAACATCAGATCTTCTTAAGTGTATGTGATTAGACCACCCTCTCAAAGGTTGTAGCCTATGGAGGAAATAAGCCACAGTACTACAGCAGCTTACTGAGTGTCCACTTTAGCTCAGGTGGTTTTGTGAGGTACATGTGACCCTGAGGCCATGTGTGCATGGTTGAGCTGATGACTATTATTAATGGCAGGTCTTCAGTCAGATTTCCCCTTGTAGGAGCCAGGGGTTAAAGCTGCATCAGGCCTGCCCTACCCAGTTTTAGAGATAGTTGTTTGGCTTCAAGTCCCACAGAGCAATAGCTGGGGGCTGTGGGCAGCTTGCACCCCTGTGCCCTGCCCCAGGTGGATTTACCAGGTGGGAAAGAAACACATGGGAGGGATGGAGAGGAGGGAACAGAGAGTTGGGGGTGAATCAAACCTTCTGTTGGGGGTTAGGGGTGGTAGAAATTATAGTGCCACACTCCCACCCTAAGGATTCAGGTGTTGCTTCTGCAATGGGCCCTGGCCCTCACTAGCATTGTGATAAAGCCTGGGGCCAACCTAGACCCTGAAGGCTTGTTTCTCCTCCCGCTTACATTAGGGTAAATCAGGAGTGACACCACTGAAGGGAATGAAGTTCCACCAGTGTAAAACTGGAATGTGGGAGAGGAGAATCCGACCCCAGATCTCGATTATAGAGGAAGTGCAAAGCAGGAAGAAAAGTTCAGAAGAACTCCTAAGGCTGCATTACAAGTCTAGCCAGGGGAACAACACCCAAGTAGCATATAATACTGTAACAGTGAACAGTGCTGAACACTGTTCCAATCAGACCCTCTAAAGAAGCTTTCCTTTGGCTTGTTTTTGTCTCTACAACTTCCCTTATTTTTATTTCAATCTATTTCAAATAACTCCTCGTTTTTCTTACTCTAGTGAAAATACACTTTTGTTTTAATTCAGCTAATATTCAGCTCTTGTGAGGGAGAGATGCCAGAGCTCAGCTCCTGTGAGCTTTTGCTTACTTGAAGCATTGACCATGACAGCACAATACATTGATTTGTCAAGCCATCGGGATGTTCAAACTGCATTTTTAAATGTGTCCTAGCTACTGATATCTTTACGGACAGTAATTAACAGTAAATGGCAGGCACAATCCATTTCTGACTACACAGGTTCACGTTTCAGCAAGCACAAATGTTACATTTTTAAGTCTACTTTTTTCCTATTGGTATATAGGATATTAGCTTTAATAGCATCTGGCAACAAATTCCGTGACTAGTTATTTGTAACTTATTACAGAATTGAATATCTATATCTTTTGTATCATTAATATTTTCTTAAGACAAGCTCTTTACTGTGAAAAAAAAAAAAAAGAGCAGCTGAGCTTTTAAATATGAAAGTATCATTTCTTTTGCCACAGGTAGATTAAAGCCCTGATCCTGCAAACACTTGCTCACATTCTTAATTTTAGGCACCTGAGCATTGATTTCAGTGGGACTGTTCAGGTCTATAAAATTAAGCATATTCAAAAGTATTTGCAAGATCAGGACCTATGATTTTCCAGACTAGTTTATCGCTATTCATTTAATAAACCTATTACACATCCTGAGGTCCCTTCCAACCCTGATATTCTATGATCATCAGCATTATTACGTTATTTTTAGACATTTGGAAAGCAAATCTAAAAATCAGTTCTAGTAACTCTTTTGAAGAAATAGAATCAATTAGCTATTTCTCATAATTGCACTGTATATCAAGTCAGATTTTAAGATATCTGGCTAGCAATCAACTGTTTAAAAGAAAAATACAGGAACATAACAGGAATCAAGGTTGAATTCACATCCTGCTTCTAGTACGTGTGTTGCTGCTTATATATACACACATGCGAACATACAGGCTCTGTAGTCTGAATCTAGTCTTTTGGGGGCATTTGGCTTTATTAATAAATCAAATAAAACATTCACTTATTAAACCCCCATCTAAGTTTTCCTCTCCAAGTTTGGCTTTTCCAGGATGATCTCTCTGTCCCAGACCCTAGCTCCCCTACACATGAGAGGGATTCCAACCACTTTTATATCCTGGCTGGAGCTAATTGAACCCACTGGCTAGAATGATATAGCATTGTTTTCACTGCATATTCATGCAAGAGTCAAGCACAGCAAATCTTAAAGGATCCCCACATGCAGAATCTCAGAATCTGCCACTCTGATATAAATAGCCTACACTGAGCACTGTACATTATAGAAATTCAGTTTCATTAGCACTTATTTCTAGCTAGTCTGATAAAGTATTTCTTTACTTTCATTCAGAATTTACATTGTAATGTAATGCTATTAGCGCTCTCTCATGCCATGATCACTCTCCCATCCAAACACTTACATACATATGACTAATCAAATGAGACTTAAAATACAAAATGAAAACCTGGCCCCATTGAAGTCAATGGCACTTTACTACTAAGGACCTCTGGGATTTCACCCAGTAATTCTCTTCAGGTTCTATTGCTTACCCATAGCCACAATATCAGATACGTTAAAACTGACTCAAAGTGATCAGCATATTTCAACTCTCACAACACATGTGGCCAAATGTGAATCACAATAAGGTGTTGTACTTACAATAACAAGGATGGAGAGTCCCTCGTTCACCACCCAGTTGCCCATCTTTGCTGGGACAGAGTGCACACTGGGTTTGTTCTTTTTCAGGCAATGTGAGTATCTCCCCACAGAAGGAAGTGAGAGCAGCTGCCTTGATGCAACCTGTTTCCTTTGTCATTCATCTAGAAATTAGCTAATCATCAGCCCATGCAATGGTTTAAATTTGCTGTATCTTTCCTGACATCTCTACAAACACAACATCTTAAAACCCCAGCCTTAAATAAGGAGAGCTTGAAATTGACATTTTTCTCTTGTGTATGAATTACTTTGGGTTAAACAAATGTCACTGGAGGGTGTTTCTGCCCGAAATCATGGTGTCACTTTGCACTAAAAGGTTTCAGTGTTGTAAAGTAATGAGAAACTACACATGATCAGACTCCTCCTCAGTTCATCCTCCCCCCCCCCCAGCACTACACCCTGTCCCTCCCACACCTGCTCCCTCACCTTCCTCTCCTCCACAATGTATTACTCTCCTGCAGCTCAGAATCCCACAAAAGCCTCCAAAGTTGATTTACCATCCCCCTTCCTGATAGACATGCACTAGCAACTCTGGCCCAGATAGTCAGAGGTATCTATGCTCCTAGCTTCTCTTGATTTCAATGGAGGTTAGGGAACCTACATATGTCTGAAGATCTGGGCCTCTTTGCCTCTCAGCTGCTTTCTGCTTGGCTCTTCAGATCAGTGCTGTGGTGTGGACATGCCTTCCCAGCTAGCCTGGAAGCGTTTCCAACTCTCATGAGACTTGGTGCTTTTTATAAACTCCCAGCTCCTGGAAGCATGTGATTATGAAAGAATCTCAACTTGAGTTTTTGTTAAAAAAAATAAAGCAGGGTGTGTGTGTGTGTTGGTGGAAGACTCTAGCCTTTGTGCTTGCAGAGCGAAGTGTAGAAATGTGATCCAAATATATCCTAAAGGCTCAGACACCAGACAACCCCCACATGTGTTCCCTTTTGGAAGGCTTGTGGTTTTTTAAGCCAAACCCCTGGACTTGACAATGATGTGACTCCCAGATGCTGTCCAAGGCTGGCAGTACATAGTAGCAAAAAGGTAGATTGGGGCAAGGTCATGACTCTTGCCTGTGGTAACTTCCCACTTCCAAAAATGCCCCCACCTCTCGACTAGCATTTCCTGTGTGATCCACCTCCCATGCCCTTAAAAACAGAGAGTGCCCAAGTGTCTGTCAATTGACTTTGACAGAACTACACCAACTGATACCAGCTGAGGATCTGGCCTTGCATTTCTGGCTCTTGTGTCTGTGAAAAGAACATTCTGAAGGCAAAAAATTTGCAGTACTTAGGTGCTGACTTTGGTCTGCTCTCCAGCCCCTGTACACAAGAACCAATCAAATCTCCCCACCAGGGAAAACCAGTCCCCCAGTTTAAAGGGGGATTTGCTGGTGCCATAGAATGGCCCCAAGGGAGAAGGGAAGGTGTGTGGCCAGACTGCCCTAAATTCCAGCTGTTCTGGGCTGCCAGACATTCCCTTAGATATAACTTATGCCTTGGCTGCAGTGGTATGGGTCAGGAATAGTTCCTGGCCCCCCAGGAATCCAAGAGGCACTGAGCTCAGCACAGTCACGGCCCAGAACTGACGATTGCACTGGGGGGGGAGGGGATGTCTGATCCATGGCATTTCCAATAATAAATCAGACATTTTGTTGTGGTTTTGAAATGTCCCGTTATCAAATGCATATGGACTGAAGAGAAATTTCTCCTCTGCCCCAGGAAATGGTGCTGTGTAATTAGCTTCAGAATAAAAAAAGGGTGGTACTGAGGGCAAGAAAAAAATGCCACTTAGACTATCTGATGTTTTTTCTCTTCTCTAACCAGAAGCTCCCTTAGAAGAATAATATCAAATGTCTCATAGGAAGAGAAATGTAACCACTGAAAATATTATTCACTTCGATAAGCCAGTGAAACATACTTCTCTCCAACAACCTGTAACTGCCACACCAGTGATTACCCAGCAGAATATGGCCACCTGATGTACAATACCTCCCTTGAACTGGGATAGCTGCTTGGAAACAGACTGGAGCATTACACTCAGTAAGTCGAAACAAAAGATGGATGTCAGCTGCTCTCACAGCTGATGTGATCTATGGGAGAAATCCTGGCCACATTGAAGTCAATGACAGTTTTGCCATTGGCTTCAATGGGACTAGGATTTCACCATGGGTGACTAACTCATAGAAGGCACCTGTGCTCTATGTGGCCCTTGATTCTCTTCATGGCACTTCCATGTTCTATTATAGTTGATGAACAAGTGCAACTTCCCTTCATCTGGTGTTTGTAAGTCTTTGAAAGCTTTATATTTACCGAACTCCATGAAGCACAAGACAAGGAAATATTGCCAGCAGACTGCATTGATAAAAATAGTTATTCTATAAGAGTGTGAGATTGTAGAACAAAGACATTCCCCTTGTTTTCATGCTTCAAAATTTCCTGTTTGTATAAAATGTTGCAAAATGGCCAGTTGGGATAGGGAAAGATTTCTGTACATGTGAAAGTTTTCACTGCAAAGATGTGCAATTTTCACTAGAAAAAGGTCCTATTTTAGCACAAATGTTTTGCAAAAAATGTTCAAGGCTCAAGGATTTGGAATATCTTGTGACTATTGCACACACACACACCTCTAACACAAATTCAACAAGTCCATCTCCCTGCCAGCACAGTGTTATTCCCTGTTCTGTCCCCATGTAAAAGCCATGCAGTTGCACGAGACCCATGTGTTTAGCACCTGCCTGCATTAAAGAGTTGATCCTAAACAGTGCACAGCTGTGAAGTGTTGCAGGTATCAAACCAAGGAGAGCAAGCACAAAGGAACCTGACCCTGCCTGACTGAGCACATTGCTGAGCAGCTGTTATGTTGCCCCTACTTAGTAGTAGAAGTCAAGTCAGGAGCCCATCACTATGCACTTCTTTTCCAAGCTGAGGTTACCCTGAACTACATGTCTCTGCTGATATACTCCTTTCTGCTAACTCCCTGCCCCTTTGTTACCTTGCACACTGAAGGGAAGAAAGTGGGCAGGCAAAGGGCTTGAGAATTATTTTTGCTCAGTACAGATGACTAAAGCTTCATGTTTCATCATACTAGCATTCACAGGTAGCATCTGCTCACACTTGCACTGGAGTGCAACAGTTGTATGGTGCCTGCTATGCCTTGCAGAGAAAAGGTCTGTGCTTATGCACTGGTGGAAATGGTCACTGGGTTACTTGGTGATCCCTGATCCCACAGAAATAACATATTCCGAGACTCCTTGGATCCTGTTAGCAAAATTACTAAACAACCTCATGACAGTGCCAGTGAGTGAAAAAGGGCACAATTGCATTTCATAATGAAATAATAATAAAAACAGCTCTCCAAAGCCTCATCATGCTGAGTGGACATGAATGGCAGAAGAATAGAGCGGACACAATGGATTCCACCTGAGACTGCTTATGACAGGCCAAAACTGCAACAGACCCCCACCATTATCCCTTCAGCACTACAGCCTTGTTAGAGAGAGATTCCAGTGGGCTTAGCAGGTCTGTCTAGGTCTCTTGGACTTTAAATTGTCCTTTTTCAATTCTCAGGGCAGGTGGCTCCTGATCATCTTCTTAATCATGACATTTCACAACATCTTATTCCAAGCAGGCAGGAGAGCCATGTGCAGGGCTCCAACAAGCTGCAGGCTCAGTATCACTGACGTTTATCGGAAAATATCCATTGGTGATTTCAGCATCTCACAGCAGTTTAAATGGTACAGCAGGCCTATGCTATACAGAGAAATAGCACCCTCAAGTGGTGTATCCTGCATAAGTACTCTTGGAAATACAGTCCTGCATATATTCTCATGTAAAGTGGACTGGTTTCCAGGCAGATGTTCATTCAGACATTATTCCCATAATAAATGTAGAGCTGTAGATAACGCCTTAAAGCATACATTCACACACACCTCCTCCTCCGCACAAAGTCAGAGGCCAAAGTAAACTGGGTTTGGGTAGGACTGGAGAATCCACCTCCATCAGCAAGCAGGACACAAGGCAGCTTCACAGCCCCTCTGCAGCTGGTATGCTGGCTCTTGGGCTAGAGCAGAAGCCACAACTCACCCGTTTCTCCTCATGGGAGAAATTGTGGTCACTGGATCCAGTTAATCTCAGACTCATTGGTTTGCCCTTACCCCTGTGTTAGGCTTTACAAAGCTGGTGTAAGGTCACCTTGCATCCCTATTCAGCCACTCTGCCCTGGTGAGGGGGAATGTCAGCCAAACCTGCTATGATGGACACATTTCTCGCCAAAAAAAATATCCAAAGGTGAAAGGCAAGGTGTCCTTCCCCTTCAATCTCAGGCCAATATACCCACTTTTGAATGGAAGGTCTGCTAAATTGGCCCTAGGTATATTATTAAATATGTTTATAAAGTAGGATTCCAACTAACGTGATCCACTTCCCATGCAGTAGGAACTGCCGAGAGGAATATCTGCTTTAGAGCAGGTTACCTAGGACAGTTTCATCAACAAAAAGTCAACACACTGAAATTTCACTAAATGGAGTGAAATCAATGGTCACACATGGAAGGTGAAGCAACATTTGAATGGATTAAGAAGGGCAGGAGAGGCAGGATTTTAGTAGCGTGAGAGTAGGTAGTGTAGCAACCTCCCTAGAACTTGGAAGGAGGAGCAGATGTTGAAGGAGGGAAGAGTTTGGAGGAAGCATATCTGTGTGCACATGGCTAGAACGCTAGCTGCAGTTGCAGCATCTCTGTAAATGGTTCTCTTAATAAAGAGCCAGTTTAAAATTTTGCAAGCATGGAATCCTTTCATTTTACTACCCAGCCCAGGGTAGAAAAAACAGAATAGGTTGCCAAATTAGAGGTTACAGGAGTTTAAAGTTAGGAAGGACAACACAATCTGGAAAAAATGTCAGAGTCACCAATATGCAGTGTCATTGTTGCCATGTCAGTCCAAACATATTAGAAAAACAATGTGAGTGGATGGTCCCTTTACAGTATGTGCTAAACTTATGCTGAACAATCTGTTCCACCTTGCACTTATCTGTGATGCTGGGAGTATTTTTCCCTGAAAAGAACTCTGTGTGGTTTGAAAGCATGTCTGTCTCGCCAGCACAAGTTGGTCCAATAAATGATATCACCGCCTCTCTAAGATCCTACCAATGTATTCATACAAGGCAAATTAGACATACATAGTTTAGTCAGTTACCTCTACCCCTCCTTCCCTCCACCCACCAAGACACTAGCTCATTCACCTTCCTTCTCCAATTACTGTCCTTACTTTGTTTCTTCAATTTCCACGGTACCTTGCTGCCTCTATAGATGAGCCAAGTAAACACTGCACTATTGAGGCCTTCATTTTTAACCTGGCCAAGAGGAAAAGAAGGTCAGAACAAAAAGCTGTGAGGGAAGTTCTATTTCAAGAGAGAGATTTAAAAGTGTACAGGAGAGAAAGCAAGAGCAACAGAAGGTTGCCTGCAGGCTGCAGCCAGGGCCAAGCATGAGGAAGCAGGTAGCTAATATACTGAATAATTAGACAGTGCCATCTGGTGGACACCAGGCACTTACACAGATAGCACATTTGCGTGCTGTGCAGTCAGCTATCTTAGCCCTGGTCTACACTAGGACTTTAGGTCGAATTTAGCAGTGTTAAATCGATGTAAACCTGCACCCGTCCACACGATGAAGCCCTTTATTTCGACTTAAAGGGCTCTTAAAATCAATTTCCTTACTCCACCTCTGACAAGTGGATTAGCGCTTAAATCGGCCTTGCCGGCTCGAATTTGGGGTACTGTGGACACAATTCGACGGTATTGGCCTCCGGGAGCTATCCCAGAGTGCTCCATTGTGACCTCTCTGGACAGCACTCTCAACTCAGATGCACTGGTCAGGTAGACAGGAAAAGAACCACGAACTTTTGAATCTCATTTCCTGTTTGACCAGCGTGGCAAGCTGCAGGTGACCATGCAAAGCTCATCAGCAGAGGTGACCATGATGGAGTCCCAGAATCGCAAAAGAGCTCCCGCATGGACCGAATGGGAGGTACGGGATCTGATCGCTGTTTGGGGAGAGGAATCCGTGCTATCAGAACTCCGTTCCAGTTTTCAAAATGCCAAAACCTTTGTCAAAATCTCCCAGGGCATGAAGGACAGAGGCCATAATAGGGACCCGAAGCAGTGCCGCATGAAACTGAAGGAGCTGAGGCAAGCCTACCAGAAAACCAGAGAGGCGAACGGCCGCTCCGGGTCAGAGCCCCAAACATGCCGCTTCTATGATGAGCTGCATGCCATTTTAGGGGGTTCAGCCACCACTACCCCTGCCGTGTTATTTGACTCCTTCAATGGAGATGGAGGCAACACAGAAGCAGGTTTTGGGGACGAAGAAGATGATGATGATGATGATGAGGTTGTACATAGCTCACAGCAAGCAAGCGGAGAAACCGGTTTTCCCGACAGCCAGGAACTGTTTCTCACCCTGGACCTGGAGCCAGTACCCCCTGAACCCACCCAAGGCTGCTTCCTGGACCCAGCAGGCAGAGAAGGGACCTCCGGTGAGTGTACCTTGTAAAATACTATGGTTTAAAAGCAAGCATGTGAAAGGATTACTTTGCCCTGGCATTCGTGGCTCTCCTGGATGTACTCCCAAAGCCTTTGCAAAAGGTTTCTGGGGAGGGCAGCCTTATTGCGTCCTTCCTGGTAGGACACTTTACCACTCCAGGCCAGTAACACGTACTCGGGAATCATTGTAGAACAAAGCATTGCAGTGTATGTTTGCTGGCATTCAAACAACATCCGTTCTTTATCTCTCTGTGTTATCCTCAGGAGAGTGAGATATAATTCATGGTCACCTGGTTGAAATAGAGTGCTTTTCTTCAGGGGACACTCAGAGGAGCCTGTTCCTCCTGGGCTGTTTGCCTGTGGCTAAACAGAAATGTTCCCCGCTGTTAGCCACAGGGAGGTGGGAGGGTTGAGGGGGTAGCCACGCGGTGGGGGGGAGGCAAAATGCGACCTTGTAACGAAAGCACATGTGCTATATATGTAATGTTAACAGCAAGGTATACCCTGAAAGAGTGTAGCCACTGTTTTATAAAATGTGTCTTTTTAAATACCGCTGTCCCTTTTTTTTCCCTCCACCAGCTGCATGTGTTTCAATGATCACAGGATCTTCTCCTTCCCAGAGGCTAGTGAAGATTAGAAAGAAAAAAAAACGCACTCGAGATGAAATGTTCTCCGAGCTCATGCTGTCCTCTCGCACTGACAGAGCACAGACAAATGCGTGGAGGCAAATAATGTCAGAGTGCAGGAAAGCACAAAATGACCGGGAGGAAAGGTGGCGTGCTGAAGAGAGTAAGTGGCGGGCTGAAAACAGGGCTGAAGCTCAAATGTGGTGGGATCGTGATGAGAGGAGGCAGGATTCAATGCTGAGGCTGCTGGAGGACCAAACCAGTATGCTCCAGTGTATGGTTGAGCTGCAGCAAAGGCAGCTGGAGCACAGACTGCCACTACAGCCCCTGTGTAACCAACCGCCCTCCTCCCCAAGTTTCATAGCCTCCACACCCAGATGCCCAAGAACGCGGTGGGGAGGCCACCGGCCAACCAGCCACTCCGCCACAGAGGATTGCCCCCAAAAAAGAAGGCTGGCATTCAATAAATTTTAAAGTTGTAAACTTTTAAAGTGCTGTGTGGCATTTTCCTTCCCTCCTCCACCACCCCTCCTGGGCTACCTTGGTAGTCATCCCGCTATTTGTGTGATGAATGAATAAAGAATGCATGAATGTGAAGCAACAATGACTTTATTGCCTCTGCAAGCAGTGATCGAAGGGAGGAGGGGAGGGTGGTTAGCTTACAGGGAAGTAGAGTGAACCAAGGGGCGGGGGATTTCATCAAGGAGAAACAAACAGAACTTTCACACCGTAGCCTGGCCAGTCATGAAACTGGTTTTCAAAGCTTCTCTGATGCGTACCGTGCCCTCCTGTGCTCTTCTAACCGCCCTGGTGTCTGGCTGCGCATAACTAGCAGCCAGGCGATTTGCCTCAACCTCCCACCCCGCCATAAACGTCTCCCCCTTACTCTCACAGATATTGTGGAGCACACAGCAAGCAGTAATAACAGTGGGAATATTGGTTTCGCTGAGGTCTAAGCGAGTCAGTAAACTGCGCCAGCGTGCCTTTAAACGTCCAAATGCACATTCTACCACCATTCTGCACTTGCTCAGCCTGTAGTTGAACAGCTCCTGACTACTGTCCAGGCTGCCTGTGTACGGCTTCATGAGCCATGGCATTAAGGGGTAGGCTGGGTCCCCAAGGATACATATATGCATTTCAACATCCCCAAGAGTTATTTTCTGGTCTGGGAATAAAGTCCCTTCCTGCAGCTTTTGAAACAGACCAGAGTTCCTGAAGATGCGAGCGTCATGTACCTTTCCCGGCCATCCCACATTGATGTTGGTGAAACGTCCCTTGTGATCCACCAGAGCTTGCAGCACTATTGAAAAATACCCCTTGCAGTTTATGTACTCGGCGGCTTGGTGCTCCAGTGCCAAGATAGGGATATGGGTTCCGTCCATGGCCCCACCACAGTTAGGGAATCCCATTGCAGCAAAGCCATCCACTATGACCTGCACATTTCCCAGGGTCACTACCCTTGATATCAGCAGATCTTTGATTGCGTGGGCTACTTGCATCACAGCAGCCCCAACAGTAGATTTGCCCACTCCAAATTGATTCCCAACTGACCGGTAGCTGTCTGGCGTTGCAAGCTTCCACAGGGCTATCGCCACTCACTTCTCAACTGTGAGGGCTGCTCTCATCTTGGTATTCGTGCGCTTCAGGGCAGGGGAAAGCAAGTCACAAAGTTCCATGAAAGTGCCCTTACGCATGCGAAAGTTTCGCAGCCACTGGGAATCGTCCCAGACCTGCAACACTATGCGCTCCCACCAGTCTGTGCTTGTTTCCCGAGCCCAGAATCGGCGTTCCACAGCATGAACCTGCCCCATTAGCACCATGATGCATGCATTGGCAGGGCCCATGCTTTCAGAGAAATCTGTGTCCATGTCCTGATCACTCACGTGACCGCGCTGACGTCGCCTCCTCGCCCGGTATCGCTTTGCCAGATTCTGGTGCTGCATATACTGCTGGATAATGCGTGTGGTGTTGAATGTGCTCCTAATTGCCAAAGTGAGCTGAGCGGCCTCCATGCTTGCCTTGGTATGGTGTCTGCACAGAAAAAAGGCGCGGAACGATTGTCTGCCGTTGCTCTGATGGAGGGAGGGGCGACTGACGACATGGCTTACAGGGTTGGCTTCAGGGAGCTAAAAATCAACAAAGGGGGTGGCTTTACATCAAGGAGTATTTCAGGCAGGACTTCACGGAGGGTTCCAATAAGAAATGGTGCACCTAAGTTATTGTTCTTATTGGAACAAGGAGGTTAGTCTGGCCTCTGATTGATACATGGCTAGATTTACCTCGCTGCACCTTCTCTGTGAGTGACTACAGTGTGACCTAGAGGAATGAGTCCCCTAGACAGGGGAGGGGGGGAAGCAAACGAGTACAAAACAAATCTGGTCTATTTCTTGTTTTGATCCACTCCACCTATCTTTTACATCTTTGGCTGGCAGCAGACGGTGCAGAAGGACTGCATGCCATCCACATCTCATGGCTGCTCGGCAGAAGATGGTACAGTACGACTGCTAGCCATCCTCATCTCTTGCCTGCCCGGCAGAAGATGGTACAGTACGACTGCTAGCAATCCGTATCGCCTGCCTGCTCACCATAAGACGGTTCAATAGGACTGACTGCAGGACTAAAGAGAATGACCTGGTCAAGTCACTCCAAATTTAGTCCCTGCGCCCATGTCTGCCCAGGCGCTCCTAGCCGACGTGGCCAGGAGCACCTCGGACACGACGATGACGGCTACCAGTCGTATTGCACCGTCTGCTGCCACAAAGCAAGGGGTTGCTGCTTCTGTGTAGCAATGCCGTACCGCGTCTGCCAGCACCCAGGAGACATACGGTGATGGTTACCTGAGCGGGCTCCATGCTTGCCGTGGTATGGCGTCTGCACAGGTAACTCAGGAAAAAAGGCGCGAAACGATTGTCTGCCCTTGGTTTCACGGAGGGAGGGAGGGAACGGGGGCCTGACGATATGTACCCAGAACCACCCGTGACAATGTTTTAGCCCCATCAGGCATTGGGATCTCAACCCAGAATTCCAATGGGCAGCGGAGACTGTGGGAACTGTGGGATAGATACTCACAGTGCAATGCTCCGCAAGTCGACTCTAGCCTCGGTACTGTGGAAGCACTCCGCCGAGTTAATGCACTTAGAGCATTTTCTGTGGGGACACACACACTCGAATATATAAAACCGATTTCTAAAAAACCGACTTCTATAAATTCGACCTTATTCCGTAGTGTAGACATACCCTTAGTCTTTCAAATGTGGCTTAGGGATGCTGGAGGAGATTTGCTTTTATCTACCCAGTAATTCCTACCATGTTACAATTCAATACAGCATGGTCCAAATAGAGTTTCTCTTGTTGTGTAAACAGGAACAGACCATGGACTTCAGTGGGGCTGTTGTGCTGTTCGGGAATATTTGAAATGTGGTTTAGTCCCATCTGTGCAGCAAAACCAAGCCATATCAGGAGGTTACCATATTGACTCTGGTCTTTCAACACAGCAGGAATTTCAAGGTGCACCAGCCCTAACAGATGGGGTTCTGGAGTTCTCCGAAGCTGGCGAATGGTGGAAGGAGGATTTCTGGGATGGGGGGTTGGACATTGTCCATGTGAGGGTGCATAGCAAGGCAAGGCAGCCAATAGCCTGTCATTACAATACCATTTATGGGAATAAAGAATGATAGTGTACTAAATAATTTACTATCAGTGGCCAAAGTTCTCCTGTCTTCCTCTACAGGCAGATATGGATGAAAACCCATCAGAGCTAATGCAAGGGGAGGGTATGGAAGAAGAGAGTCGTCCTCTGCCTCTGTAACCTTATTCTTCCTCTTCCATTAAACAGAGGTGTAACTCTCTGTTAGAAGATTTGCAGAAACAGGGTCAGGAGCGAGAAAGCATTGGTGCTCCTGGCACTCAGACAGGTACCTAAACGGGGCAGTAACGTGTGCCTGGGTAATGGGAAACCAGGTATCCCTCATTCCCCCCTCCTCCGCAACAATTACACCCCTAAGCCCCTTGGAGGGCGTTAGAGCCTAGTCAGCATTAACTCAGGCACTTTCTCTTTGTGATTAGAGCCGAGGAGGCAAAGGCGCAATGGCCTTAGAAGGAAACTCAGCAGCACAGCTCCACTGCTGTGTCAGGGGAGGGTCAGGATGCAGCAGAATGCCACAGCAGCTCCAATGGGGAGGGTCCCTGCTTGCAGCGCTGCCTCTGAGATTCCAGCCAGACTGGAGTCACAAACACTGGCGTGGACGATCTGGTGATGATCCACTGACACCGGAGCTCTTCCGCACAAATGGAAAGGGTCAGGCAAGCATGTGTGCATCCAGGCAGTAGTCTCCTGAATCCAAGGCCTGGTCTACACTTAAAAGTTGCATTGGTAAAACTACGTTGGGGGATGTGTGTGTGTGTGTGGGGGGGTGGGGTTGTCTTTTTAACCGATACAGTTATATTGATAAAAGCCCTAGCATGGATGCAGTTATACTGATACAAAAGGTGCCTTATACTGTAGCATAAAGCTATATCTACACTAGAAGGCGGTTGTCGGCATAGCTTTGTTGGTTGGCAGCGTGAAGCACTGTGATTTTTTTTTACCAACATAGCTGGACTAGCAAAAGCAAAAAGCTATGCCAGCAAAACTGCACTCTTAACCATATAGTTTGTGTCGCACAATGGAGATGGCAGTTTTGCCAGTATAGCTGTATCCACACAAGGAGTGCTTTGCCAGTAAAGCCATACCAATCTAACTGTCCTGCCAAAGCCTTCTAGCGTACACATGGCCTTATTCCCCTTCTGGTATGGGAGTAGCTATATTGGCCTAAATGCGTCCATGCTGGAGGGGTTGTACTGCTTTAACTATATCAGTATAATTTCACCTATCCTTATGAAGTAACTGCTCGATGGCATCTCACTTATTATCCCTTTGACAATACCTCTGTGGGGCAGTGACCAGAAGACATAACTTACCCATCATGTACCTGTGGAAAGGCACTGCCAGTTCCACGTCTTGTAGATATGACTTCTGACTCATTCCTATTTGGAAGACAGTAATTTAGTTTGAATAATATCAATAGGGGAACCACTGTGGGATAATGTCCCATTTAATGGACATGTCCAAGCAAGATACTGTAATATAATGAACCCTGCTGCCAGGGAGTAGGCTACGTAGCTTTCAACTGAAAATCATAATCTAGCTAGAATGCCAATACATGGCTGGTGAAATTTACCCACGTACCAAGGAACAGCCCAAGGCCTATGTGCCATTTAAGTCCCACTTAAGCCCTCTCCTGATGTCGTATTTTACATCTCTTGCCACCAAATTTGCTAGTTTTACGTTTTTCCCTTTGGTCAGTTTCATTAGAAAGACACTAGCTACAACTTCTCTTCCTCTGGGATTCCCCCCCAACAAGTCAAGAGACTTGTCTGAATTAGCATGCAAAGCCCTCAATGGCTTAAATGAGACACGGGGTGAATTTCAGCTGGCTACAGTGGGCAAGTGGGGGAATAGCTCCCTTTGATGGGCACCCACCCAGCCAGTTAGCTGTAAAATCCCTCTTGGTAGTGGTTCTTTACTTGCTTTACCTGAAAAGGGTTAAAAAGTCCCACAGGTAAAAGAAAAGGAGTGGGCATCTGACCAAAAGAGCCAATGGGAAGGTAGAACTTTTTAAAATTGGGAAAGAAACTTTCCCTTTGTCCCTTGTTCTCTGGGCTGCAGAGACAGAGCAGCAATACTATAAGCAACTTAAGCTACGTATGATCCTAAATCATCAGATTATGCCTAGAACTACTTATCTGAACTCCAATGTTTAGCTAGACGCGATTAGGATTATTTCTTATTGTCTTGTGAACTCCTCTGTGCTAACCCCAGATGCTTTTGTTTGCTTGTAACCTTTAAGCTGAACCCCCAAGAAAGCTATTTTGGGTGCTTGATTTTTGGAATTGCTCTTTTAAAAATTTAGCAAAAGCCTAAGTTCCAGTTGTATTTTCTTTCTTTTTGTTTTTAATAAAATTTACCATTTTTAAGAACAGGATTGGATTTTTGGTGTCCTAATTGGTTTGTGCATGTTGTTTGATTCGCTGGTAGTCACAGCTAATTTCCTTTGTTTTCTTTCTCAGATCTTCCCGCGGAGGGGGTGTGTGTGTGAAAGGGTTTGAGGGTACCCCATAGGCAATAATTCCCAAGTGCTCCTTCCTGGGTTCAAAGGGGTTTTTTTGCATTTGGGTGGTGGCAGCATTTACCAAGCTAAGGTCAGAGAAAAGCTTTAACCTTGGGAGTTTAATACAAGCCTGGAGTAACAAGTATTAACTTTTAAAATCCTTGCGGGCCCCACTTCTGCACTTGGAGTGACAGAGTTGGGGTTCAGCCTTGACAGGGCATAATAAAGTTTCCAGGAAAAGCTCTGAGATTGCTCTCCCTATTTGCTTGAGTATGTCTTCTGTGCTCAATAGGCCTTGCACTTGCCGTCTGCACAGAGGTTAATTTAATCCAGATAGAATTTCTATTGGGCTTTTAATACTGAACACTTACAGAAGCTTGCACCATTGTTTACCGAAGTTTATATCTAAAGCCTTGAAAAACAGATCTACCTTTTTCAGCTGAACTCTTGTCTAAAAATGATATTAAAAGGAGCAGGATGTGAAGGTCACATAGGTATTCTAAAGAGGTTACATCAAAGGAAGAAAAAAAAGAAAGATTACTCTTTATTTGTTTTTAAATAAAAGCAGATTAATTTTGCAAACCTATTTCCAGGCTGCTTGAGATACTTGGGAGCAAAATTTCAAACCAGTCCTACTAAATCACACTCCAGAAATCTGCAGAAGTCCCCCATGTATTTGTAACAGCATATATCACACATGGAAGGTCTGCACAAAGAATTTAGCCAGAGAATTAGCACAGGAGAAGTTCTGATGAATAAGTGATGTGTCTAAGTCCACAGCAAAGTTATGTTTTGATTTAGATGTCCCCTTAGCCAGATTTTTTCCCTTTCCTTGCAATGAACCTTTTGGACTTGAAGTTTCTCCTTTCTTTGTTGTTTCAGAGTACTGAGAAAAGAAAGGTTATTTCTGCTTTGCTTAGTTAAGACAACAGCTCAAAACACAGACCATGGCTTCATTTTGGGATGATTATAGGAAGAGTGATTTATAGGTGTTTGCTAATGGATTCTTGCTCAGGTCTCTGGGATTTTCCATTTCACTTTGTACCAAATGGCAAGTCAAGCTGAACAGTTAAACGTACCTGGCAGGTGGGTCATTTGGTTAGTTAACCCTACGGAACGGCTTCCAACCTTCACAGGATTTGCCTTATATGCACAATAAGTTATTAAGACACAGTCAATATTATTACTCTGGTCCTTAGTTCACTACAATACAGCAGTAATTTTTCACTTATTATACTTCCCCCCCCCCACTCCAACATCCCCAATAATTTGCTTCTCTATCCCCTTTCAGAATGTTTTTGCCTTCCTCCGATTCCAGATGGCTTTGGTCCATTTCTGGTTTTACACAAGCATGTAACTATGAAGCAGGGCTTGTCATTTGCAATGCCCTGGCCATTCCCACTCTAGCATCTCTCATTTGTACATGTAGAACACATTTCCTAATAGAGGACTCAAATGCTGACCTTTTGGGGAATCACTTTGTTAGTTTGGTAAAAGATTCCAGCAAGACAGTGACACTGATCCCTGATCACATTGTCCAGAGGGGCCCAAGATACTGACAAAGTTAGTCTTCTTTCCACAGACAATGGAGGCAACAATCCCTATGACCTATCTTTGCTTTGTGGTTAGTTTTCTTTCTGCTCATTGCCTCTTTATACCATTAGCATATGCCTGAACACTACCCTGGGTAGAGGAAGTGGTAGAATTAAGTTCCTGTGTGTACTGCAACAAAACATAATTAAAGAAAACTAATCTTGAAATCTAGTCTACTATTAAAACAAAAACTAAGAGAAGAGGTATTAACAATAGCTATGCATACTACATCTGCCACTATGTCACCCTCCTCATTATTGTGGTTTTACAATCAGTTTCCATTTTCTAAGGTGTTTCTCTCTTCTCTATTGCTGTAGGGGGGAAACTGATTGGCTATTTAGGAGAAAATAGTGAAATTGACTATATAAAATAAACTGAAAAAAAATCACTTTTTCCCCTCTGTAGTGGCCCGTGGCCATCCCTTCCCGTCAGGCTTGGAGGGAAGCCATGCTCCTCACTATGTTGTGCCTATAAATGCAATGCTCAACAGAGGAATTAGCAGTTTACAGGCTCTGGCCAGTGCAGAGCAACAAGCAAACGCAGGCCATCTGGCCTAAAGTGGGTAGGCTGCCATCCCAGGGGTGGGGCTGGCAGTAGGGGGTAGAGGGACCCAGGCCCACCCAACTCCACCAGGTCCCAGCCCCAGGGCCCTGCCAGTGCTGGAGAATTCTGCTACTGGGTAAGCGGGGATCCCGCCCAAACATGCTGACCTAGACTCTGGCAACACAACTGGACTAATGTTGGTTGTCCCTGGGCTACTTCCTACTACTCCTTCTGAGCGTACCTCTGTCTCCTGGGGTACATGGCCAGCAGCAGTCCCAGTAGCTCCTCTAGGTACTGGTCAGTCGGCAGTCCCAGCACCTTCTCGAGGTCTGTGGTGCTGTAGAGCACAGTCTCTGACGCAGGGCTCAGCCATGGGCAAGGGACATCTGCTCCCTTCCCTGGCTCTTGCAAAACTGAGCTGTAGGGCCCACCTTTTAAACTTCCTGCCCTGCCCCTTTGCTTCTGGCATGGGGATGTGTGGCTTGCCTGGCTCCACCCACCAAGGGGTGGAGAGTGGTACCTCCCCGTCAGGCTCAGAGGGAGGCTATACCACCTCACTACACCCTCTAATAATTTTCAGTGACAAATTAGAATAATAGGAAAAAACATTTCAGCTAGAAGAGTGATTCTTCACTTGACATTAACCCTTTAAATCAATCCTTTGCTTTTGTTATTAATACAGCCTGGGGTAATGAGGCAGAGAGCAAAATAATGTGTACACACATTATAGTATATGTGTGATTAGTATTATCTGACAGTGCTTATTGTCTCTCTGTAGAGGGACTTACCTGTCTTGGTACTTGGTAAGGCCTCCCCCCATTACCACAGTATCTGAGCACCTCACCACCTTTAGTGTATTTAGCTTCACTACACCCCGTGAGGTAGGGAAGTGCTGTTATGCCCATTTTACAGATGGGGAACGGAGTTACAGAGAGATGAGGTGACTCATACTGGAAGTCTGTGGCAGAGTAGGGAATCGAGTGCAGGTCTCCCAGGCTAGCACCCTGCCCACTGGATCATCATTCATAGTGAGATATAAAATGATCTTCGGGGCTGGTCCTGCAAACATTATCCCAGACTATGGTGTTTACTGAAGTCACTAGGACTACTCACAGTAGTGAGTATTACAGCTAAAACATTTTAAAGTGACTAGCACTTCTAAGTTTTTTAGTTCTGGAGTGCTTATCTGGAGACTCCTTAAAGGAGCCTATCTGAAATCAGCCCCTCTGAAAATCAGGTCCCTCTGAGGAGTCTCAGGATGGGTGCTCAGGCACTCCAAATCACTAGTCGCTTTGGAAAATCTTGCCTGTATTTGGTAGTAAGGATTTGCAGGACTGGCGCTTTAGTTGGCAATACTGTGTATCTGCTTTCAAAACACCGTCAAATGTGATCAAAAGGTGTCTTGAAATACCCAAGCGTTAGAGTTGAAATGACTCAGCCATATAGCTTAGCATAAAGATGTAATGTATATACTTTTTTTAACCCCTGGAATAGCATTATGTAGCTACACAGTTTAGGGCTGGTTTGGTTTTAACAGAGCACCATTATAAACATAGAATCATAGAAGATTAGGGTTGGAAGAGACCTCAGGAGGTCATCTAGTACAATCCCCTGCTCAAAGAAGGACGAACACCAACTAAATCATCCCAGCCAGGGCTTTAGCCAAACAAAAATGCTTTGTTTGAACACTGAAGCACACTGTAGGTCTAGGTCTCCAATGGGGTTAACGTAATGTAAAGTCAGATTGTTCTAAATAGCTCTTTGATGCTAGCATTGGTTTGTTAGATCAAAATTAGAGGAAATAGCATTACTACGGATGAAAGCAAGGCTGTATCCATTTGTAGTTCTAATAACTGTATTCTCTAAATGTAGTTCTGGTGTCTACTTTTCTTTTCCAGGAAAATCTCTTTTCCAGTCCCTTTGTAATGCCTTTTTTCAGCAGGTTCTGAATGCATTTGAGCAGAATCTTGCTAGCAGTCTGCATATAGTATCAACCATTTTCAAGGACATGGAAGCATCTGTACACTCCCATTTTCACAACAGTGACCCTTTGATTAAAAAAAGCAACCCTAGAAAAAATGATGTGAATGTTTTGTTGTTCCTTTCTGTAACAACACCTATATTCCAATATTGCCTTCATAACGCAATAGACAACAAGGGGAAAAAACAGGAAGAAATACAGCCTAAAGAACATAAAATTTATTAGGGTCACTGACTGCAGAGCAGCAGATGCAAGCATATAGCTTTGTATTTTTTACAGTTACTGTATTTGGCACAACTCAGGATACAAAACGGACAGTCTGTTTACAAGCACAGCAATGCATATATAACCACGACATAAATATAGTTCAAGTGTCTTTCAGTGAGATGCTATAGTCCTCATTTAATGCTTAGAAGCTCAGAAGGCTGCAGAAGTCAAAGTGAATTAATCTGTAACCTGACTGACTCTGTTTTCTGCTTATCAAAATATACCATGCATCATTTTGTTGGACACATCATTTATGGATGATTAAAGTTGTAGACTGCCAGGAGAGGTTAGCCAGATGAAAAGAATATTTGAAGAAAATTTTCAAAAGCTAATCGATGAAACATATATTATGTATGGCTATTTTCTGCTAAAATGTGTATGTGGATATTAATTCTCATGAAAGTGAGGACCTAATAGCAGAGGTTTAAGGTAGATGTAGTGTGAGCATGCACTGTGCACTGTTTCCCCACAGAGGTCTGAATGCCCCTAAGGCGGATTCTATTCTTCAGTGAGCTAATCAGCTCTGTACCTGGTCTCAGGTCAAATGTCCTATTTTTGTCCTGAATGTCCTATTTGGAGAAAGTAAAGGCATGTTGCTCTTGGCCAAGATTTTCAAAAGTCACTAGTGATTTTAATTGCCTCAATTTTTGGATGCCCAACTCGGGACACCTTAGAGGAGCCTGTTTTTTCAGAGGGTAGCTGCTCAGCACTTTATGAAATTCAGGCCTGTCTGAAGGGTTTCAAGTTGGACATCCAAAGAGTGGATTTACTTGTTACTTTTGAAAATCTTGGGATACTAAATACAGGCTATCTTGAGAATCGGGAATCTGTGCAGACACCTAGCGCACACCCATACATTAATATGTTTAGACATTATTTTCTATTTATATCTCAAATACATGCTATGCCTGTCCCCGTTTTTTCTGAGTTCACTTTAACCAGAAAGGCACAAAACTGCAATCGAAACTGTTGCTGTATTGCTTAGCTTGTTCATGCAACCATGTGTCCTTTTTAACATCTCACCAGGCAACAATTGGCATCCTGCAATTGGCTCCCACTTCTAAATGTACTTAATCCTGGCCTGTAGTTAGAGCTCTGCAGGTATGCACTGCATTCATTTATAAATTGAAAATTTCACAAGACCTTGCTACTCAGTTAAGGGGAAATGATTGCCATTTCTATCAGCAATAATGGGTTACCACTATGGCCTGGGTAAAATTTTAGCAAAGAATAGAATTGACAATTTTTTCTCTGGTAAAATTTTGCTAATTTTTATAAGATTGGATCTCTCTCCCCCACCTCCACCCCCAGCAATATAGTAGGTTGTCTGGCTGAACAAACTGGTGGGTCCCGCTTCCCATAGTGGCCCGAGATCCCTGGGCAGCTCTTACCACAGCCCAGCTCCGGCTTCTGGCCTGGCCAGGGGGCAGGGCCTTGTGGGAAGAGGAGGAGCTTTTGCCTTTTGAAAATGTGGTCACCCTAACTTAGAATAGCACAGGGAGTGAAATAAAATTTCTGCTTTATGTGTTTGGATGTTAGCAATTCTTGCAGAGAAAAGCTAGGAGCTGGTATGTTCATAAAAAACTGGTTTTCAGCTATTTTGTTTTAAAATAGCTATCAGTCTTGCCAACCCCAAGCATCCAGAAGTCATAGATATGTAGTGCTTGAGAAGCTATCAAGTTCAGCTCCCTGCACTGACTTTTTATGAGTCAGGTCCCCAAAATCATGAGATTGGCTAAAAACTATGAGATTTAAAATGTGAGTGAGAGAAAGTTATTTTCATTTGCCTTCTGGTTCTTGAGATTTTAGAGGATCTCATTTTCAATCTTTTCTCTGCAACGATGAGGGCTAGGGTCTTACTTTAAAAAAATGAAAAGCTGAGATTCTTACCCAATCACGTAACTCCATGATCTGGGTCTTGAAGGAAAACATCATGAGATTCGTGATAAAAAATCATAAGAACTGGCAACCTTACAGTCATTTGCAATATAATGTTAGGGTTTCCTTTCCTTATTTGACTCAAGTCTCTTTATACTGGTAGCTCACTTACAAAGCAACTTTTCTGATTCATTAATATCTTTAGTGGTACATGCTGTCCATTAAGAACACTGATTCCTTTTTCCTTCCCAAATATACTATCTAGATAACACAAACCCATGTTACATTCTGTCCACATGGACCTGGTGTGACATGAAACATGCCAATGTGGTGTAACCTTAAACTTGGGTTTCTAAAAAGTGAAGTTCTAAGAACTGTGACTGACACAAATATGTTTCATCATTTTAATCAACATTTCTTTGTTTTACAAATATGTGAGAATAGACAAGAAGAACCAGGTCCTGCAAGCCTTTATTCATCTGAAAAATCACACACACACACACTCATTGCTACCACTGTCCCTTTCTCAATATGAATAGCTAGGTAAAAGCTTTAATTCATGCTCCACACTAACCCACTAGAGTACAGATCTGACACCAGTGTTTCTGATCAGTGACAGTCAATGTTGAAAAAGGTTTTTTGTGTGGACTCCTAGTCACTACATGCATAGGATCAATGTAACCATTAGTACCCCAGGACAGTCATGCATCAGAGCCTGACCCATAGTACAATTAGGATGACGGGGAAAATGTGACTCAACAGCTATCCTTTAAAATACAGAGTCCAACACTGCACAGGGCTTTGGCCTCCGTCCTTCCTTCATATACTCTTCCCACCAGCAGTAAGACAGCTTGATCAAAAATTTATATGGCAGCCATGTTATCTGATGGGTTTATTTAACCTCCTCTCTTAGATGTAGTGACTGAATATTTGGAGCATGGCAGCCCTAAACAATAACACTTACATGGAAGAAGTATTTGACCTATTGTCTCAGATATAATTGGCTACTTCTGCATAGCTAAGGCAAAGGCATCAGAACTGCAACAAAACCCATATATAGTCATCATTATAATTATTTAATATATTCAGTAGTCTCTACATGCATTTCAATAGACCAGTATAAAAATAGTAAACAACACAGAACATTCTCTGAAAATATGTATATACATAGAACTTCATTATTTGTATGTAAAAGAAAACACTACTGACTATGGCTATGTGTATACTAGACTCTCAGATGTCAGCTTCTGCTATTTATTTTAGTGTGGTATAAGTATCTTATTGGCCTGAATTTGGGAAGATCACATTATTCCCAAATGGCAAAATCCCACCACCATTATTTATCCCACATAAACCATATGAATTACAGGGGAAAATGCTTTAGAAATCTCAGAGAACTGCATTGGTATTATTCTTAATATCCTATTTGTGGGGGAATTCTGCACCACTGCACAATGCAGAATTTGCACAGAAATTCACATTTTTGCGCAATTTCCTTTCCCCCACCCCAGAAATGGGCTGTAGAGTTGCTAGCTGCTACTAGGGAGCACTGGACCCAGCAGAGCCAGGGGGAGGAAGCTACAGGGTGCCAGACAGCTGCAGTTCCCCGGACGCCCTGAAGGAAGGAGGCACCGTGCATGAAACTCTATACAAGCCCTGGAGCCAGCATCAGGCTGTTTCTCCCTCTGGATCCCTACTCTCTGTGGCGGAGGGGTGCAAGTTTCCGGGCTGGAGGTGCAGCTGGGCTCTGGGGGTGGGTAGGGGATGCAGGTGTCTGGGCTGGGGGCAGGCCCGCAGCTTGGCTCTGGTGGGGAGGGGGTGCATGTGAGTGTCTGGGCTGGGGGGGGGGGGGGCGCCTGCAACTGGGCTCTGGAGAGGGAGGGGGTGTGGATGTCTGGCCCCCCTGCTGGGCTCTAGCAGGAAGGGGCAGAGGAACTGGGTTGTTGTAGGGGCTTCCTTAACTCAACTCCTGCAGCAATTTTTGTGTGTCTGTATTGTTACAGACATTAGGCTGGTCTACATTGTATAGTTGCTGATGGTGTTTCATTTCAAAATACCTAAATAATTGAAATTGGTGTGATTGTATAGTGTTATTTTGACAAATAAAATATACAGATTTTTCAGAATTTTAAAATATTGTGCACAGAATTTTAACTTTTTTGGCACAGAATTTCCCCAGGAGTAATATCCTTTCTTCAGGGTAAGCTAAACTGCCTTAATTGACAAGGGGCGAAATGTCAGACCTAGGTGCTAAATTAGCACTTACTTAGGTATTCAGGAACCTACTGATGATTTTCATAGTCATCAATTGGGTGTCTAAATATGAAGTTAGACACCCAACTTCAGCAAAGTACAGTAGAACCTCAGAGTTACGAACACCTTGGGAATGGAGGTGGTTTGTAACTCTGAAATGTTCATAACTCTGAACAAAACGTTACAGTTGTTCTTTCAAAAGTTTACAACTGAACATTGACTTAATACAGTTTTGAAACTTTACTATGAGAAGAAAAATGCTGCTTTCCCTTAATTTTTTAGTAGTTTACGTTTAACCCAGTACTGTACTGTATTTACTTTTTTTTTTTTTGGTCTCTGCTGCTGCCTGATTCCTTCCAGTTCCAAAGGAGGAGTGTGTTTAACTGATCACTTCTGGTGTTTGCAACTCTGAGGTTCTACTGTAAGTTGGAAAATACACCCCTGTGTGTCCAACTGTACAGGCTTGAACCGAGAAAAAAAATTCTGCACTATATTCTTAGCTGGTGTAAATCACTGTAGCTCCACTGAAGACAATTACAGCTTCCACGATCTGTTCCTCTAACTCATTGTTTAAGAAACTTCTGCAAATGATCTAGAATGTTTTTTCTTTGCAATATTTCTGTGTAGTCTCCCCAAGAACTTATTCCAAATCTACCTGGGGAAGTGGACTAATTGACAGAGTAGGTGTCAACCCCACATGTGAGTCACGTGCCCATGCCAAACTCATGCCAAGAAAGCCTTTACACTATCCCACCTCATAAAGTAATGAGGTATTATATATATATACCACATGCACACACACAGACCAAAGTAAAAAAATAATAGCTACACTGTACAAGCGCAGCATGAAAACATTCATTTAGACTCCAGTAATAAAAAGAGCTCAGACTCTTGCAGCATTCTAGGAGCGAGTGCAACTTTCCATGTCTCTGTTCCTACTCCCATCTCATGCCAATTCTGATACAGATGCATTGATATCATGGTTTCTTTCAAGGATGTCACATTCTACTTTAAAGCAGAATAGAGACTTAGCCTATGAATGGTAAAGGGGATTCCAGCTAATGAATTCCTATCATTTATTTCCAGTAGCACCCACTGTGTTAGGCTCAGGACAAACACAAGGCGCTGAATCAAACGTGAAAGGCTGAATAAGTGAATACATTCTTCAGACTTGCAGTCAATAGATTGCATTTTAAAACAAAACAAACCTCTTTTTAAAACGCTTCTAATAAATTGTCTTTCTGGGGTGCCCAGCTGCCAAAGCGTTCTCAGCACCTTATGAAGCACACAAATCATTTTGATTAATCAAGATGATGTTGTGCCAAAAAGTCTTTAAGCTCCTCTTTTAAAAGGACTCAAATCTGTGGCACTTCTGATGTCAACAGGGCAAGGTAGTCCAGAATACTGATGCTGTGATAACCAAAAAACATTAAATGAAAAAGATGAGCTGAATTTCTTTTGCTGCTATACGACCCATTGATATGGAAGCCCCACTCTGCCTCTAGTTAGAGATGGTTCCAGACACACTGTGTCAGGCGTTTGGTAATGTACATGACACCCCGTCCATTCAAGGCTTTAAACATTACAATGTATACTTTAAACTCCATCTGCAAACTAAGAAGTGGCAAATGCAGACAGTGAGAGAGTGCATCAGCCTAATGCCCTCTGGCCATTCTCAGAAATAATCACACTCCAATGCTAGCAACTGGCCTGTGTCTTAGGCAGCCTAGTATAGAATGCCTTGAAGCAGTCCAATACTGATGTCACAAAGGACTGTGGTATGGTATTGCACCAGTCAGGATGTAAAAGCTGGCAAAGAGTCCTGTGGCACCTTATAGACTAACAGACGTATTGGAGCATGAGCTTTCGTGGGTGAATACCCACTTCGTCGGATGCATGTCATGTAAGAGCTGATTATCTTAAAAGCAGAAAACCAGCTAGACCACAGCTAGTCATCTACAATTACTAGGTAGTCCAGGACTATGCTCAGCTTCCATGCTGAAGGGGCCTGCTCTCATGATACTCTCTACAAATTGCATTTCCTAGGTCTTCTCATTCTCCTCAGACCTCCTGAAGGAACCAGACCAGGGTCAGGTCCATTTTGCTACGATTTAAAGACATCTCCTGTAGGGATTTCAGACTAAGCAGATGATAAACCTCTGTGTGGAATCACCATGTAATATAAATCCACAGACACTGGTTGCTGTATGTGTACACATGTCAAGTGTGCCGTATGCGTGTGCATGTCAGAGTACCCATGCAGTACAGCTGGGCTGGCAGAAAAATTAACAAGGCTCAGAGTCCAAGGTACACAATTCTTTGGGTAACTGCAGTAGCTTTCCGGTTCTGCCTGCTTGCCACTAGCCACTTTACGCATTGGAAGAAACACTCTGATGCGGATTCCCATTCTGAGACTCATTTGTCTTGTAACTGGCCTGTGAATCATCACCAGTACCATCCGGTGATTTCAAGTCCACCTTATCCACAGGCACGGTGGCCTTAGGCAGTTTGCAAGCAAAGCAGAGGTACTTGAAACATGACAGCAAACCTTCTGAAATACTGGATGAGAAGAGCTTTTTGCAAGGGTGGCAGAACTGGTAGAACACCAGCATGAACAGGATGGCCATGCAATAGCCAATCAGCAGCTGCAAGACTAATAAAGGGGCACACACGTACAGGTAGACATCTGTTTTATAGACATACCACAGCAAGAGGAGGAAGGCATTCTCAGTGAACCGTAGCATATAATATACGGCCAGTCGGTACCAATTTTGGGATTTGTTAATTAAGTCAGGATCATTTAGCTTCAGCTGCACTGCTGACCAGCAGAACATGTTAATGCCAGCATACAAGAAGGTGAGGAGGCACAGTACAATGGTTGTGCCCACCCTGGTCAAAGCCTTCTCTATATTTTCAGGGAAAGGGGACTTGCTTTGCCAAAAGAGAATCCAGGGGTAAAAGAAAAAGCCAAAGAAATTCAGGAGCACCACAGGCAGGACCCAGATTTGAAGCACAGAACTGAAAAGGACCAAGACTACAACCCGGGTGGCAATCTCAAAGCTTCTCCAGAGGAATATGCAGAGGTAGGCTGCAGCTTTCACGCTGATGTCATAATCATCATACTTAATCTTAATAGCCAGGATATTGCAGCGTAATGCACCATATACAATCGACAGCAGAGAAAGGACCATGAAGATGCCTGGGAAAAGAAAAGATTATGAGAACTTTCTGTTTTAGTAAATGTTAAATGCAACACATTCAGGTAGTACAAAGCAACTGGAAAGCTACTTTAACAGGCCAGCCGGGGACTTCCCTTCTCTAGTGCAGTGGTCCCCAAACTGTGGGGCATACCCCTTATAGAGCGTAGAGGAATGTTTGGGGAGGGGGTGTTCAGTGGGGCCCAGGCCAGCCCTCCAGAGGCGTGGGGAGCACCACCCAGCCCCGCTCTGCCCTCAGCCCAGCTACCCCCCCAGCCGCAGCTCCACTCTAACCCCAGCCGCAGCTCTGGCCCCAGCCGCAGCTCCACTCTGCCTTCACTCTGTCTAGGGCTGCCAACTTTCTGGCTGTATAAAACCGAACACCCTTGCCCTGCCCCTGCCATTTTCACCTGGCTGGGGCAGGGGGCTCTGGGCTGGGAGGTAGAGCTGAGGGGTTTGGAATGTGGGAGGGGGATCAGGGCTGGGGCAGGGGGTTAGGGTGCGGGAAGGTGTTTGTGGTCTTGCTTACCTCAGGCGGCTCCTGGAAGCAGCTGGCATGTCCCTCTGGCTTCTAGGCACAGGGGCAGCCAGGGAATTCTATGCGCTGCCCCCATCTGCTGGTGACAGCTTCCACTGGCCACAGTTCCCAGCCAATGGGATCTGCGGAGCCAGCGCTCGGGGTGGGGGCAACACGCGGAGCGCCCTGGCCGTCCCTGCACCTAGGAGCTGGAGTACATGCTGGCTGCTTCTGGGAGCCTCATGGAGCCGGCGATGGCCGCGGTGAACCGGGCTTTTAGTGGCCTGGTCAGCTCCACCTTCAGCCTAAGCTCCTCTGCTGAGCCAACTACGGGGTGTGGACAGATGCCATGACTGGTAAGGGGGGGGGGGGGGCGGGCGGCAACAAGAAAAGTTTGGGCACCACTGTTCTAGGGGAATCCGTAGGTAGTATGCAGCCATTCTACACCACCCACGTCCTTTCACTGATTTAGGAGGTGTGGTCACAGTGGGTGGGAGCATCACCAAAGTGCACCGTGCTCCGGCAATCCAGGGCTGACAAAATGGCCCCTATGGAGTTGTTCATAGCCAGCACAAGTCAGAGGCTCTGAGGTTATTCTAGCTTCTGCCAAGGGCTAAACCAGCTCCTGGACGGCCCCAGGATTGGGGGATAAGGGAAGCAGAAAAGTAGGAGAAAGCAATGTCTGTCCTATTCTCTGGGAAAGGAAACAGTCTAGCAATTGTGATCAAAACATACTACCTCACTCTTAGAGAGGGAGCCCTTCTCCCTGCCAAACCTGCACACTAAAAACAAGGGTGAATTTGGTGGCAGCTAATACCTAGTTCATTTTTCCATGAATGGAAAAGATCTAATTAACTACACTGTGTGAATAGGAACAAGAATCTGCTAGACAACTCTGACACCACATTCTACAGGCCATCACCCTCTGACCCCACTGAGGATTACCAAAAGAAACTACACCATCTGCTCAAGAAGCTCCCCAATGCAGCACAGGAACAAATCTACACTGACACACCCCTAGAGCCCCAACCAGGGGTATTCTATATGCTACCCAAAATCCATAAACCTGGGAATCCTGGGTGCCCCATCATCTCAGGCATTGGCACCCTGACAGCAGGATTATTTGGCTATGTAGACTCTCTCCTCAGGCCCTATGCTACCAGCACTCCCAGCTATCTTTGAGACACCACTGACTTCCTGAGGAAACTACAATCCTTTGGTGATCTTCCAGAAAAAAACATTTTAGCCACTATGGATGTAGAAGCCCTCTACACCAACATTCCACACAAAGATGGACTACAAGCCATCAGGAATAGCATGCCCGATACCATCACGGCAAACCTGGTGGCTGAACTTTGTCCTCACTCACAACTATTTCAGATTTGGAGACAATTTATACCTTCAAGTCAGCGGGACTGCTATGGGTACAATCATAGAATATCACAGGGCTGGAGGGACCTCAGGAGGTCATCTAGTCCAACCCCCTACTCTAAGCAGGACCAATCCCCAATATTTGCCCCAGATCCCTAAATGGCCCCCTCAAGGATTGAACTCACAACCCTGGGTTTAGCAGGCCAATGCTCAAATCACTGAGCTATCCCTCCCCTGCATGGCCCCACAGTATGCCAACATTTTTCTGGCTGACTTAGAACAATGCTTCCTCAGCTCTCGTCCCCTTATGCCCCTACTCTATTTGTGCTACATTGATGACATCTTCATCATCTGGACTCATGGGAAGGAGGCCCTTGAGGAATTCCACCAAGATTTCAACAATTTTCACCCCACCATCAGCCTCAGCCTGGACCAGTCCACACAAGAGGTCCACTTCCTAGACACTACAGTGCAAATAAGCGATGGTTACATAAACATCACCCTATACCGGAAACCTACTGACCACTATACTTACCTACATGCCTCCAGCTTTCATCCAGACCACATCACATGATCCATTGTCTACAGCCAAGCTCTAAGATACAACCGCATTTGCTCCGATCCCTCAGACAGAGACAAACACCTACAGAATCTCTATCAAGTGTTCTTAAAACCACAATACCCACCTGTGGAAGTGAAGAAACAGAGTGACAGAGCCAGAAGGATACCCGCAAGTCACCTACTACAAGACAGGCCCAACAAAGAAAGTTACAGAACGCCACTAGCTGTCACCTTCAGCCCCCAACTAAAACCTCTCCAGCACATCAAAGATCTACAACCTATCCTGAAGGACAATCCCTCACTCTCACAGACCTTGGGGTACAGGACAGTCCTCGCTTACAGACAGCCCCCCAACCTGAAGCAAATACTCACCAGCAACTACACACCACACAACAGAACCACTAACCCAGGAACCAAACCCTGCAACAAACCCTGGTGCCAACTCTGTCCACATATCTATTCAAGGGACACCATCGTAGGACCTAATCACATCGGCCACACCATCAGGGGCTCGTTCACCTGCACATCTACCAATGTGATATATGCCATCATGTGCCGGCAATGCCCCTCTGCCAAGTTCATTGGCCAAACTGGACAGTCTCCACACAAAAGAATAAATGGACACAAATATGACATCAGGAATCATAACATTCAAAAACCAGTAGGAGAACACTTCAGTCTCCCTGGTCACTAAATAACAGACCTAAAAGTTGCAATTCTTCAACAAAAAAAAACTTTAAAAACAGACTCCAGCGTGAAACTGCAGAACTGGAATTAATTTCTAAATTGGATACCATCAGATTAGGCCTGAATAAAGACTGGGAGTGGATGGGTCATTACAAAACCTAAACTTAACTTCCCCAATACTAATTTCCCCCTATTATTACTCACACCTTCTTGTCAACTGTGTGAAATGGGCCACTCTCATTACCACTTCAAAAGTTATTTTTCCTCCCTTGGTATCCTGCTGTCAATTGAATTGCCTCATTAGACTGACCTCACACTTGGTGAGGCAACTCCCATCTTTTCATGCATTTACACCTGCTCCTGTATTTTCCACTCCATGCATCTGATGAAGTGGGTTCTAGCCCATGAAAGCTTATGCCCAAATAAATCTGTTAGTCTCTAAGGTGCCACAAGGACTCCTCGTTGTTTTTACTGTGTGGTCAGTTGATCAGACACAGATCAGAGGCTGTCACTGGCACCCTATCCAGTGTGATCATAAAGGTTACTTGGGGGAGTTACCTTTGGGCATGGGATTTTGGCAATGATGCTCTACAGCTATGGAATCAACCACCCATCCATTAGTGGCTAGTGGTAGGCAGAGTTAGTTTTTTAAAATCACAGCTCACAGTGCTTTATGTCTGATGCTACTTTTATCTGTCTGTAAATTAGGAAACACCTTGAGACATTTGTAAAAAAAAAAAAAAAAAAACCCACAAACACAATGTAAATGCTTTAATAAAATAATACTTTGCAATAGCATAGTGCTTTTCAACCTAGGATTTCAAAACAATTTACAAAGGTATTATTATCCCTATTTTCTAGATGGGGAATGCTGAGGAAACCAAAAGATTTAAAGTGTTTTTTCCAAACTCTGTTGTCTGTGCAATATCTGTCTGAGGTACTGATATCCTTCCCTTTCTCCCCCCATCCACACTGCAGTATCTGAGTGCCTCACAATGTCTAATGTATTTATCCCTCATAACACCCCTGTGAGGTAGGGAAGTTCTACAGAGACTTGCTGAAGGTCACAGAAGAAGTGTGTGGTGGAGCTGAGAATTGAACCCACGTGTTCCAGGCCAGCACCCTAGCCAAAGAACCTTCTTCGTCTCCTTGTGGAAGAGATATACGTGGCATCAACTGAACATTTATTCACCTGACTACATTTTATGTTCTTTATTTCTCCGGCTCCCCCAAAATTATAGAACCTTCCAGACTGAATTTGGAGATGCTGACTTGTAGCTATGGAAATCCATCCTTCTGTATTTCCCCCACACCTACGTATGGTTCCCCAAGTGAAGGGGCTTCATTGTTATTTAAACGCAGCAAAGAGTGTTTGGTGTCTGGCACCTAGAGTGACAGCAGCTGGCACTACAGTAAGGCTTTGTGCTGCCAGGATGGGCATCTCCCAGGCACTTAAAGCAACAAAGTGCGGCCTCTCGCCATGACAAGAAATGGAGACGGGAGTTCAGAACTGTCACGCAGCATCTGAACTCAGTGTCATGTGAAACCGTGACAGCAGCATTTTGATACTCCATAATATCAGTTGCTAAAGTGCTTTTTTTAGCTGACTACTGGGATTTGAGCTGTGAATTAAGATACTGGAAAAATGCATCAGCAAACTCAAATAAATGAGAACAGAGTTCTCAGACCTGATGCCTAAAGTTAAGGCTCCTTAATCTATAATTAGACATCTAAAAATAGGTGGCTTGATTTTTCAGAAATGCTGAGCAGCCACAAAGCTATTGGGTGCTACATACGTTCGGCCCCCATGAAAATCAGGCCACTTTTATTTTAGGTGTTGAATTATAGATTTAGGACACAAGTTTC